ACCACGTGATGAAGGCACAGGGTCTGATTTCATGTCCTTGGTGCAATGACTTTGTGAAGCTGGTACTGATGGGTGGGCATTCAGGAATCTCAGCTCATAAAGGCAGTTTCCAAACAAAGGTGAATAATATTGAAACTGGCAAACTATTAAAGGCATTCCACAATAAGAATGTGGTTTTGCAGTGCACTTTTGCCTCTATGCAGCGATTTTTAAATTTGAAAAATGAAAAGAGAGGATGTCAAAGGAAGGTGGTCTATTTTAACACTTACACAGGTGCCAGCTCAAGATTCCTTAGATTCTCCATTGCAGCAGACTCCTCGCTCACTGACAATTCCTGACAGTTGGGAATGTGTGAGAGGCGGTTTCAGATAATCCTGGCAGATGCACAGATTTAAAATAGCATACATTCACAGATAGTACCTGTCTTACCAGTCACCTAGACAAGACAATAACCAGGGCTAGACTCATTTCCTCTGCTTGATCCTCTTTAAGGACAAAAGCAATACAGGAAAGAGATATCGGAGGCATGCTGGCGGTCAAGTTTTGAAAAGAGAATCCTATTCAAGGTCAGTCAGCCACCTGTGATTGGACATTTGAGACACATTGCTCCAGAAATAAACAGAATAAATAATGAATAGAGTACACTTTAAATATAAAAAGTCTAAAATGGGGTATGATCTGTACTGTACTGAGCTGTCTAGTGAAAACTGAAACCAAATGAACTTCACCAGGGCCCGTTCAATCAATAGTTTAGACATCAAATATGCACTAACTTGTGGCATATGCACTTGTATATATTATGTACAGCACTAAGTACACTGTTCAGATTTTAAAGGTCTTATATTGCACAACACTGAGCTTGTATTGTGAGCTTTAAACCATGTCAGAACGGCATTACCTCATCAAAGCATACATGGAGTTATGTTTTGTTTCATTCACATATGTTTGAATAATCTTTCATTATTACCGGTAGTCTGTTTATATTTCCAGATCTTAAAATGCTCTGTTACACCTTCTGATGTCATGAAGTGGTAGTTTTCAAGTTAACACCTCCTTTTACCTTCAGTACAGATGGGAAATTCTGTCCAAATAATTCTAATGTATGGAGTTTAAAAATATAGTGGAGCACTCCCTGTATTACCACACAACTCTGCAAGGTGGAACAGAGTGTTTTCAGTCTAAGAACTCAGCCTAAATATACAGAATTTATGTGTTTAACATGTGTGAAAGAAACAAAACACAACTCCAGGTATGTTTGTCATGAGGAAACAATGTTATAACAAAGATCAGAAAATAGTGTAATATGGGCCCTCTAAAGTGCTTTATAAATGAGGTTGGTATGGTATTGGCAAAAGCAAAGCAGCTAGCCCAAATGCTGATGCAGAAGAGCATTGATGAGTGGCTGCTTGGGATATAAATAAACTGCCAGCCCACTCAGAAAAGGACCTTCACTCTGGCCCTTTTGTTCAGTCCTGCTGCTGCTCTCCACCCCAAATAATAGAGACAGATAAAAGCCTTGAGCACTTTGCAAAGGCACAATTCACCACAAGACAAGAAGCACACGGCTGCCCTTGGTATATATTTGAACCTTGTCAGTGCGGCCGCTCCTCCAGGAAGATAAGACGGATCAATAAAAACATGCAAATGATAAGGCTCAGCTCAGTCACATGGTAAAAACACAAAATGTTCGTTAACAAGACAATGGTCCCAGCATGAGATGTAGCCAGAGTTAGCTGCTCCGAGCGTCTATTTCCGTATCTAAAGCTTTAGGACACAGGCCACGGCATGGGGTCTGCTGCAAACTGAGACCTCTCTCTCTCTCAAGGTCAGAGGACAGGGTAAAAAAAATCTGAAATAAGGCAGATGCTACACAAATTCACACAAACAACTATGTAATTTAAAGAGTTAATGTGTGTTTTCCTTTAATTTATTTTTTACTAAATCTTTTTATACTCTAATTTTGAATACCCCCTTCACTTTTGAATACATCTTGATACTTAAATCAGCTATACACTGGAAAATACAGGATGTATTTACTATTTTGTTCTGTTTTATTAGATTATTCTTCTCTTGTGACTTAAATGTCTGATTTCTATAATTTTGTGATATAAGTGAATCAACGAGAAGAATAGGCAAGTTTAAAATAGTTTCAAAATCTGTCATCCTAGGAAGACACCCACCAGATGATGATTAACTTGGGTGTGTATGTTGTCTCATAAAACTACAGCGTTAAGTGTTTCAGCCACACAACATCACCCAGGTCAATGTGTGCAGCATCAATCAATGTCAGAGGGGCTTATTATTAGATCCTGCAATGGTCTCAATAAGGAGGTCTCAATACATTTAACAAAGGAAAACTACTAATAAAACAATTATTAATAGCAGACTACAAAGAATAGTAAAAAAGTAATCAATAGTTAAAAACATGAGATATCATTTTACAGTGAAAAAATACAATATAAATATAAAATCGCTTGACTGTCTTGACATTAGTATTAGCAGCTACTACTATAACTTATAATACAACAATAGCTGATGCAGAGTACATAATTACAGTTTTAATAAATCTGATGTAAAAGTCGCAAAAGGTCCTCTGATAAAAATCCATTCAGATAAATGGACTGAGAAAAGTGTTACAGAATCAGATTAAGATTCAGGGGCCAAATGATGAAAAATCTGTGGAATAATGGGATGTGAGGGAGAGAGGAGGAAGGATGATTAATGTTTGATTAGCCTCTGCAGTTCACAGTGTAGAGGACATAAAGTCAACTAGATAGGGTAGTCAAAAAATTTAAAGAAATCATAACAAGTACAAAATTCCATTCTGCTGAATAAAACATTTTTTTAAATCATAATTGAAGTGTCAAAATCATTAAAGTCTCTGTATCAAAATCAAGTTTGAAATATTCTATTCTGCTACAGCTGATTTTACTAACCTAGACTTATTGTTTATGTTCCCTTAAGGCAAATTTGAAAGGAGAGTAAATTAAGACAAATGCAGTAGCATGTAGATTCCTGTCCAGCAGCTGTGTAACAGTCAGCACAATTACAGTGTCATGAACTGGCCCTGCCCCATGATAGGCAACAAACATATGCACGGAGACACAGGAGAGAGTGAACCCATGGGATCCCAGACAAACAGCTGAAGATGGACATTACATCAGCTGTCCCATACCACTGAGAGACTGGTCAGCCTAAGGGACAGTAACAAGTCAGTATTTACACAAGCAGTAAACTTAATTTCCTTTCTAACCTTTGTATACCTACACCCACCCTTAGCCTACAATGCTAAGGGTGGGTGCTATTAATAAAAATGTTATGATTCTATTTCTATTATAGATACTCAGGCAATATCTTTACAATGTTTCAGATATGTACTAAAATGTGCCAGTATATGTCTTGGTTGAGGCTCAGATTTAGCAGAACATATGGAAATGTGAAGTGCAAAAGGGCAGAAATGCAGAAAAAATTGATTAATCAATTACTGTGAGGTCCTTCTTAGTAATTTTAGATATAGACAATATATTCAATATTCTAATTCGTTTCTATTTATTTATCTTATCTATTTTTATATATCTCCCACCAACAACTTTTAACAATCCACTTGCCAGCATAATGTATCTCCTTCAGGACGCTCCAGTGGTTGTTATTCCACTTTAATAATGCCAGGGTCAGTAACTGATTTGTAATTATATAAACACTGCACTTGCCAAGATGACACGCATCAGCAGCCACATGTGAGGTCATTCATTGTGTGTAATAATGGGCATTTAAAAGGTGTCTTCAGTCAGACCAGCCTATACTGCTTGTGGTGCAGTGTTTCCTCAATAGGTTATAAAAGAGAACTGTATAGAGTGATGGAATGAATAGGGGCCACATTTTTGTGCAGTGACTTGAACCCAAAACAGCACTTAAGTTAAGTCTCAGAGATAGCCACTGACCTGTCATGCAAATAGAATAAAGACAGCAGTATGGTCTCTTTCAATTAGCCCACAAGTGTAGTTGAGATTATAAGAATTGTTACGGTGCGGGTGCCTACAGCAGTTGCAGTTCACATACCAATTGTCTGTCCATTGTCAAACCTGCCCCTTCACTTGCGTCACTACTATCCCATAACCACTGCACTCAAAGAACTCTTCCGAGAGTCCCCAGGTCAGAGGTCACATGTGCGGCCTCTGGTCTCCACGACGACAGCCTGGCAGTCCCCCAAAACTTGAGATGGTGCATGCATGGTGTCCCCCTCCACCCAGTTTGTATCCCACACACTTGGGCTCATTCTCACTCAGTAACTCAGCTTTTGTCCCAGGACGTGGAGTGAGAGATCCAACCCAAACACTGACAACACACAAGCCAAACACTCCACCAAAGAAACATAGAGCAAATGGATCACCACTGCCGTGCACTGACTGGGATTAACAAATGGGAAAGTAAGTGATTTAAATTTATGCCATTAAAGCACATGCAAATGCCAAAGATACACAAACTGACATAATCCACCTATAGTATATGATACCATTTTATTTTATTTTAGATTATTTAAATATTTTATGCATTGACGATTACCCATAGTTAGGGTGACCAGAATTTCAAAATAAAAAACTCGGACATCGTCAGTTTTTCAGTGGTTTGTAATAATAAAATTGTGAAACGAGTGCGTTATTAAGGAAAATTGTTATGCAGAGACCATCCATGATTAACTTCTTTGTGTTTTGGTCGTTTTTAAGTAGATTTTTTGTATTTTCCCTAAACAAATTACAATTTATGCTCTTTACTGTTGGCAGGTATCAAATTTGTCAAAAAATAGGGACATCTGGGACATTTCTTATATAAAACTGGGACAAATCATTGGGTTTGGATAAATCCACTGGGGCAGGGGACACAGGGCTCAAAACTGGGACTGTCCCGGGTAAACAGGGACGTCTGGTCACCCTACCCATAGTGTATGATTGTGATACAAAGGTCAAACAGAGGGATTCAAATCAAAAGCATGCGGTGCTTACCATATTGCAGCGCAGGACATTTCTTGGTCAGCTCAACTTTGCAGCAGTTTGCGTCTCGGCGTTAAAAGGAAACAAATAGGCGTTTACGTGGCTGTGCGAGATATTTTCCACAAGTTTGTTTTTCCGGTGCACTAGAGCTGACAGACTAACTGGCTGCGGTGGAGCAGAGAGTGCAGTGAGGCTGTTTCTTTTCCCTCCTGGTAGTTTGAACAGTCCGGCTGAGAGAGAGAGGGAGAAAGAGAGACGAGACACACATGTGCCCCAATCAACTGGACCGACGTGGAGACATGAGAAAGAGGGACCTCTAGTGGACAAAGCAAAGGAGTTATTTTAGACTTCGACAAACTTTACTGATTCACAAGGGAAATTATCTGGACACAGTAGTAAGCAGTGTTGGGAGTAACGCGTTATAAAAGTAACGAATTACAGTAATTGCATTACTTTTTGCTGTAACGCAGTAATGTAAGGCCTTACAGGGGAAAAAATAGTAATATTTTACTCGGTACAAATGCGCGTTACAGTGTTGTTTTTTTTTAACCTGGATTTAAGTGGTGGGTTTTTCTTCATACAAATTCGCTAAAATCACCTCGATATCAGCAGCAGTGAAACGCCGGAGATGCGCCCTCATAAACCTTCAGGTAACCGCGGGCGAAAGGACTGACAAAGAACTCCACGCTGTTTAGACCTGGTTTAGACCTGGGTCAGTTCTGGTTTAGACCTGGTTTAGACCTGGGTCAGTTCTGGTTTAGACCTGGTTTACACTCGTCCCTCCCTCTATCGCAGTTCACTTTTCGCTGTCTCGCAGATTTTTTTGTAATTAATTTATTTATTTTTTTGTGCAATTTTGCATGCCCTATTTATTTTTTTTTTTTTTACATTGTATGAATGCGTATTGCGTTCCTCCCGCTGCGTCCTGACTGGCCAAGGGACTCCTGTCTCCTGTACAGTACAGTACAGAATGTGTTCAGCTGCCAAATTTAAATACATGTTCAGTCTCTAGCAGTGTGATTCTGAAGTGCTGTACGGTTGCAAGTTTTCTCCCCGACGAAACCCACAACGTCGACGAAACGTTCTGCACTGACAAAGGCTCCTGCGCTCGCACCCAAAAGGCAGAGGAAGATGCAACCATCACACAAAAAGTTGGACTTCTGGACACGCTGAAGGAAGGTAGAAGTTACCGCTGTAACAGACTCTTGCACCGGCTCGGGTACCTGCATATAGTTGCTGAAATCAGGGCCGCGAGCCCGAGCAGCAGGGTCCATAAAGAGCGATCGGGCGACAGCCGCTCTTACCTCCGTGAAGTGCGGAGCAGAGCCGCTCCTTTCTCCTGCGGTCACCTTCGAGCCCGTCCCTACAGTGAGTCCTGTTTTAGTCCTAGTTCAGTTCTAGTTTAGTCCTAGTTCACTTCTGGTTTAGTCCTGGTTCAGCTCTGGTTTAGTCCTGGTTTAGACCTGGTTTAGTCCTGGTTCAGTCCATATACAGCGCAAAAGTTATTTTGGTGAGAGTAACTTAAAGTAATGCAATAGTAATGCCTTACATTTTAAATGCAGTAATATTGTAATGTAACGAATTACTTTGAAATGACAGTAATAGGTAATAAATAACGCATTACAGTTTCAAAGTAACTTGCCCAACAGTGGTAGTAAGTAAGTAAGTCTGTATTTATATAGCGCTTTCACAGACATTTTCTGTCCCCAAAGACGCTTTACACAGCATTATTCAGCATTATTCATTCAGCATTCATTCATACAGCATTATTCATTCACTCTATACCCTGGTGATGGTAAGCTACTATTGTAGCCACAGCTGCCCTGGGGCACACTGACAGAGGCGCGGCTGCCGTGACACGGCGCCATCGGTCCCTCCGACCACCACCATCACTCACACACACACCACCTTCATACTAGGCAATGTGGGTGAAGTGTCTTGCCTAAGGACACAATGATTGAATTGATTGTATTTAACTGACCTTGACTATCAACTGTTTATGGAGACCTATGTGTAGCTCACATATCACAAAATAATTCAATAATAAAGGGTAAAAAATACACATGGTAATAACATTTTAAATAATTATCAAAAAATAGTAAGAGCAAGAGACGTGTCAAATAAAACTGTTATATATGTATATGTACAAGTCAAAATTAAAGGTGTTAAAGGTGCACTGAGTAACCTTTTTGATGTCATGGAGAGATTACGCTTTTGCTTGAAAAGTCATTTAAAATTTTGACTTGTAATACATGCAAAGCAATGCCATTCCCATGGAGACAAGGTGGCGGTCCCTCCTTCAGAAAAGTTCCATAGTCCATCTTTAACAAATTGCATAGATTTATCCCAGAATGGTGAACATTAATGCCCCACTACTACAGCCCTTTTATACCTCCAAGAATAGCAACTGATGAGTTATATAGCATCGAACATCTGATTGTCATAGGTGTAAAAGAAATCATCTAAAGCATTTAATTAGGTATTGTGACGGTTTATTTATGGTAGCTTGATGATATTGCGTTGTTTATTCATTTTTATGTATGCATTTTTCTTTGTCAAACGTGAATCAGTCTTCAGTTAGACGTGCCGCTCCATTTTAACACAAGAGGGCAGTCTGTACTCCAGATAGAAACATGGGGTTTGTCCTGCAATGGTTTTGAGTCTTTGGACCATGTTATTACCTCCGCCAAGGAGGTTATGTTTTTGCCGGTGTTTGTCTGTTTGTTTGTTTGTTTGTTTGTCTGTTTGTTTGTTTGTCTGTTAGCAAACATAACTCAAAAACTTATGGACCGATTTTGATGAAATTTTCAGGATTTGTTGGAAATGTGAAAAGGAAGAACTGATTTCACGTGCAGAAATTTTACAAGCTTAAGGTTTCTTTGCTTTAGGTTTGGGGTTAGCTTTTGGGAGGACTTTGACACTTGTTGACGCAGACTTGGATCCTTGCAGGTTTTGCGCGGTGCAGGTGTAAGTTCCTTGGTCCACATCTCTCACTTCATCCACCAAGAGGACAGACTGTGACTGCTGTGTGTTTGGCCCCGCCGCTGGAGCGACGCTGTCCTGGGTGTACTGAGGCCTCCCAATCTAAAAAGCATGAACAAGGTGACTATTGGTTATTAGTTGTTTTCACATTATAGAATGTGATCATGTCATGAGACAGTTTTTTCCAGCTGATAACATTGTACTTTACCATGAAATATTCAAGGAAAATCCATAAATGTTTAAAAATGTTAAATCTGATCATTTCTATGACCTACTAAACCACAGGTGTCAAACATACGGCCCGGGGGCCAGATCCGGCCCTCCAAGACCTTTAATCTGGCCCTCGGCTGATTTTCTACTAAAATATTTTAATGATATTTTCTATTAAAATCTTGTTAATTTTCTGTGGTGTTTATCACAGCAGCGTCTCCAGCGTCTCTGTGCCCCTCCCACCAGAGCAGCACAAATGAAGACTTGTCTCTTTCCAAACGCTCTTAAAGGACTATCGTTTTGACTGTTGACCGTGACACCCTTATCAGAAAAATGTCAAAAATGAGAAAAGTGGAGCCGAGTGCAGGATTTTACAACAAAAATGGACTTATTCCTATTTACATACAAGTTCATGTTAAAACATTGTGTTGAAATTACATTTTTCTTAAAGTTTCAGGTTGTTCATAATATTATAATATTTAGTCAAAGAAAGAGTTCATCAATTAAAAAAGATTTCTGTAATAGGTTTGTGTTTCTCTGCACAAATATTTGAACTTATTGTTATTTATGGGGTTTATGACATGAGTTTTCTGGTCCGGCCCCTTTGGGATCAGAGTAGGTTGGATATGGCCCCCAGACCAAAATGAGTTTGACACCCCTGTACTAAACCCTGGAACTCACTGTATTACGACACACACACAAAAAAACTTTCAGCTATATTCATTTTAGCTGCTCTCACCATACTGTATCTAATGTAAATTAGCTTAAACAATAGTCCTAAAGAAAGATAATACATGATCTACTGACATGGCATTAACATTAACAAGTAATAAGTGAGCTATTTGATGACTGCAACTAAACTTACACCTTTTAACTGATTATGCTGACCTGCTGCCCTGGGTATTCCCATGTGATGTCAATGGCCACACCCCATTCTCCCATCACGGTGCAGGTAACTCTTAGATTGTCCCCTAGAGTCACTGAGCTGGATGAGGCCTGGATCACAGGAGCTGGTGGGGCTCTTGGGTCTAACAGAAACAAAACATTTAGTAAAGTTATAAACAGCCAATATTGTAGAATAATTATTCTTCTAATTCACAATATAATATTTTTGATCTAGTTGTAAGAGAAAAATAAGTCTTCTTGATTAGCCACAGTTATATTTTTATGATAACATGAAACATTTGCCCTTTACAATATATTTAGGCAATATATAGCCTTCAATAATGAATAGAAAATAAAAAAAATATTATAGCTAGGGCTGGGCAATTAATCAAAATAATTTGAAAAAAATTCAAAATCGAGGTTTATTATGAAACAGGATTGCTCTTGACTTTCTTGCTTGTAACGCAGGTTTATTGTGCAATTAAAAATGGACACAGTCTAATTTAAACTATTAAGATTAGATTACATATCTATACGAATGTTATTAAAGGCAGTTTACAATTTCTTAAATAATAGGATATGATAAGAATGAACCTATACTGAGCTTCCTCTGTCCCTGCCCTTACTTTGATAAAAAAAAAAAAACTATTAAAAATGTAATCGTCTAGTGTGTTAATAAATCAGTATTTTAATTTCAAGCCATATCGGCATGCCCTAATTATAGCATTGGCACTCCTACCTATCATATAGCTCAATTCTACTCAATGAATACTCTTTATTTGCAACAGCAGGAAATAATAATGTGACTCACAGTTGACATAGATGAGCATGTATTTGATAGAGCTTTGCCTCAGGTTTCCCAGACTGGCCACACAATATACTTCTCCAGCGTGATAAGGCCTGGGTCGATGAATTGTGAACCCTTTTTTAACATCGAATGAGATCTCTGAGCCGTCGACTGGTACTTCTGATGGGGGGTACTCCCGATGGAGGGTCACCTTTGCCTTGGGTGAGGTCACCTGACAGGGTAGCACTGTGGGCCAGTTGGTCCTGAGCTGGATTACTTCATAGTAATCAGAGGAGGGCACAAACAGTTCTTGAGGATCTAGTTAATGCATGGAACAAGAAGGACAAACTATGATAAGATAATTAGTTCGTGCTGAAAGATTTCCTATCAAGCTGGTGGTAAAATAAAGCACAAAACTAGACATGCAAGCAGAGATAACGTTATTAGGTTGTACCCGGAAAGAAAACAAAGACTTTAGCTGCTTTGCTGTATTCCTTTCTGCAGTCAGTGTCTTCACAGAACATTGGAAAACATGTGAACTCTCCAGTGTCAGCCCCAGTAGGTGTTGACTAATGTCAGGACTCCATACTTCTCATGCTGGGAAGTTCTGGACAGAAAATACAGGCCGATCTTTCAGTTTCACTCTATTATTAAATTATCAAGCTTTTATTTTATTTTATAGGTTTCTCTGTATCTGCCTGTAATTAACTAATTATGGCAAGAATCGATTTCATACATGCACCATAAAACACAAAATCAATAGATGAAAATACTTAAACAAATTCCTTACTTGAGCCTCCCCTCATGATCCTCCTCCAAATATGGCGGGACAGTCCACTGCACAGGTTTACCCCTGCACCTCAGCTCCAGGGTGTGTCCAGACTGCACACTGATTGTCTCCCCAACCCTCTCAAACCTCCCTTTCTTCACCACCTGAATTTGAACAAACAAATACAGTTTAATTTAAAAAAAATATAGAAACATAAAAAACATAACATTAAAAATAGTAATTGCTTCAGGAATGTGGCACCTGAGTGAGGATGGACTGAGGCGGTATGGCACGTGGAGCTGTAACCTTGGGCTTTGTTGTGGTTGATTTGAGTTTGCTGGTCTTGGCTTTTTTCCCTGGAATCATCTCTGCTTCTTCACAGTACACTAAATACCATCAACAACTCAGTGAATAATCTTCATGTTATTATAAGCATCTGATTTAATTGGTTACTTTGTGATTGAAATGGCTCAAAGTTTTGCTTTTCACTCATTCAAAAATAAGTGTAAAGAAAGCTACTTACCTAATTCAAAGATTACAGCACAAATGAGAAGTGTGCCCAACGCCAGCCTGCATTTTGACCTAAAACCCTTTACCATACTCATGACTTGATCTGGAGATTATGTAGCCCTATGCACAGCTAGGATTGTCCTGTAAAAGTAGAAGGGAACAAAGTAAGTGGAGGGCAGCGCTTGCAAAGTGAGGATCAGCTGTTGACCAAAGTCACATACATTCCCCTTTCTGAGTGGCATTAGGAGCCCAAATTCCTCCACCCTGGTTCAATAGGGTCTTTCAAGCTTATCTTGACCAATGAGAGCCCAGAATCTGCGGCCCCTCTGTGTGGACCCTGCCTGTTTGCTTAGCTGCTAGACTGAAAGAGCTGAAGCCTCAATAACCCTCGAGGAGCCAGACTATGTTAATATACCTGAACTGGAATTTGCTGTAAATTACAATGATTCTAACATTGTTTTAGGAATATTTATCATTGCAGAGAAGTTGAAATAACCGCAAACTGCAAAACTTTAAGCTATAGGTTAAACACAATGTAAGGTAAGCTGTTGTGAAAGCTTTCTTTGTCCCTTCACTCAGCCAGACCTTCTGGCCGTGCATCAAAAGTTTTTTGATTTTTTTTTACAAGAACTTACTAACCAATTCAATGTTGTGTATAAAGTGTTCTTTTAATACATTTTACATAAGCAAACATTTATAGTTCATTCATATTTACAGTTACACTCATGATTCAATAGAAATGTCTATGTACACATTATATCATATGTAGTCTTCAATAATTATATTTAAATATACAAATAATATATGTGATTTTGTATTGTGTGACAATCATCAATGGTGGTGCACTGGTAGAAGCATTTTATGTTTGCACATAAATACATTTGTACATAAAACCTACAAACATAGCTCTTTAGATCAATAATCCTATTCCTATACTTAGGGTGGAGACATTACTAAATCCTGTTTTTACACAACATCACTCTGCCATAAAAACAAATGTACTGGAAAAGACCTGTGGCTCATTTGTTTGTTAAGCTGAGTACAAGCACATGTCACACACCAACAACATGAACATTTAAGAATCTAATTATAATATATTACATTAAACATACAAAAATACATTAAAACTTTAGAATCTCTCTTCTTTTATAATGTCTTTCTCTGTTATTCCACTAACAGTCTCTATCTGTACGTGTCCAGGTGTGCTGCGTCTTCTCTGGACACTGAACCACATCCCATAGAGAAAATAGATGAGTAATCCTATAGTGGGACGACAATGAATCAACAATTACTCTCCACTCAAGGTAAAAGCTTTTAGTCTAAATTCATAATATATTTTATGGTGATTTTTATGACAGAATAACCACATAATTGCGGTCATAGATCTTACCTACTAACATCCATATAGCGTATCTTAACCACGTATCTGCACCTAATTGCACCATCAAGTAAACATTGATGAATGTACTCAGCAAAGGGAGAGCAGGGACAAGAGGCACCTGATGGACAAAAGACATAAGGTCATAAAGCTTTTTTGAGAGTTGTGGGTGCTGTACTTGCATACGGAAATCTGTTTATATTCTGTACCATAAAAGTTGCTTTGGTTGGATTCTGTGGATGCCTCCAAATGAAAAATATTAGCAACAGTAGGATAAAGGCAAAGATGCAGACCAATGCCAAACTCCACGGTTCTGTGCTCAATATGGCATCAAGAGCTTGAGTCAGTAAGATGCAGAGTGCAGTAATACAAAGCACTACAGAGACAGAGAAATGGAAAATCAAATGAACATTTTTCGAAATAGGAAGCAACTGTTCAAAAATGTAACTTTCTTACCAGCACTGATGGTCAAGAGTGTGACTGCTTTAGAGGTTTTTGAATTTGGAGCTGATGGCGGTTTGAGGAATGAATACTTGAATTCAGGTCTGGATTCTTGGTTTTGAGACTCTTGATACCTTATATAAAATTATCAAAATTAATAATACAATTTTCTTTAATTATTCTATATAGGTAACAAACAGTTACCTCAGTATTAGTATGCATATAGCGACCAGTGTGTAAGCAAACAGTGTGCCAATGGACATCATCTCTACCAAAGCGTTCAAGTCAAACAAAAGCGCCATGAGAGCTAATGAAAAAACAACATGTTTTTAGTAATGAGAGAAATGTATTATTCAGAATAATGTGAGAATACCTGCTACTACTCCAGATGCTATAGTTGCAATAGCTGGACTTCCTTTGGCTGTGACTTTGGTGAGTGGGTGGAAGAGCAAACCGTCTCTGGCCATGGCAAACAACACGCGTGGCATTGGAAACATAGACCCCAAGAGACTAAAGGAAAAATTTTGGAAATGTTATGTTTTCATAATATATTCAGCTAGATCTACAAAATTGTTGCACCAACCTGGTGGACAGAGCACACAGAGATCCCACTGCTACAACGTATCTGGCCGGACCCCAGCCGATGTACTCAAAGGCCACAGGCAGTGGACTCTTGCGGTCGAGCATGTAGTAAGGCATCATTAGAGTGAGAGCCGCGGACACAGCAAAGTAAGCCAAGAAACAGATGAGCAGAGAGGCAACAATGCCCACAGGGACAGACTTCTGAGGGTTTTTCACTTCCTCACCTGAAAGAAAACAAATCATCTTTACTTATAATGTATAGGTTTGCACCAGCATCATCATGGCCTTTGCCTATTTCCAGTTACAATGTTCCTTTTCACCGTGAGAGCTTCAAATTTTAAACAAAAAATATGTAGTTTGACACACCTAAACATTGAGCTGTTTAATTAACTAATAAAGCATGTTTGCAAGTGATGAATTATATTGTTTTTATTTATCTGATCAAAAACAGAACTTTGTACTCTCTTACCTGTTGTAGCAATACAGTCAAAACCAACAAAGGCATAGAAACATGTAGCTGCCCCAGCCAAAGTCCCTGTGAAGCCGTACGGGAAAAACCCTCCACCCCCGAAGGCTGTGGTGGACAGGTTGCTGTAGGGCACAAAAAATGTTTCATTTAAATAGTTGAAGAAACATTGACTTTTACTTTATACAACACTGTGCAAATTTGGAAAATATAAGCTTATAATATGTAATAATGTAGATAATTAAACTGAAAATGTAAAAATTAATCACACTATATTTATATAAACCAGTGCGTTGTGTACGTTTCATATGGTACAATTTGTTGTATACGTTTTCTTTAATTACTTTTGTGTTGTGTAGTTTAGCAGGATGTCTTTACTGATCTGCCAGTTTTTAATGTCTCCTTTGATAAACCCAGATATCGACACAAAGAGCAGCACTAGGATGTTGATTGCTGTAAAAATCTTATTGATGGTCGTTGACTCTTTCACCCCAAAGGCCAGAAGTCCTATAGGGAACAAATATGCACAATAAATTTATGACTCACTGTTGTTGAAGGGTGTCATAAATGGCTCTTGTAGTCATACCTGATAGCAATATAATAAGAACAGCGGCAAAGATATCGGGATAAGGAGCCAAACCAGGAAGGTTCATGGCTGCGTTTTCTTCAAAAAAATTGGACATGTGCCCTCCAATGAGGTCATCAAATGTCCCGCTCCATGCCAACGCCACGCTAGATGTCCCTGAACACATCCTCAATCAATTATAAACAATAAATCAATTTAATTTAAAACAAATAGAGGTATAAAAATGTGGCTGTTTCATTTTTAGAAAACACTGGTTTCCAAACTGTGGTAAGGAAGATTGCTCTGATGGTGAGGTCAATTTAGAGACTATCTCATCCAAATTTCCCCCTCCTTGGTGTTTTTCTTTATTTAGAATTAAAAGTCTGGGTCCTCTGAGAGACCTGGTCCTGCTGGCACATTCAAGGCCATTTGGAAAATGCTTCCACAGCAGGTAAAAGTTCAAGAGCATTTTAGCACCTTGTTGATCATTTATGGTCTGCTCTTAGTCAGCCCAATTTGTTACTTATCAGTCAACGTTGTTTTTAAAAGCATTGTGACTTTTACAGGTATCTTATAACTTTAAAGCACTCATTTACACATTAACTTTGGTTATAATGACTGTAATATTGTGACAAAGTGTTACTTCTGCAACTGAAACTTTACTGTAGAGTGAAATTGTCGTTGTACTTGCCTATTACATACGAAAGAAGCAGATTCCATCCTGTAATGAAAGCCAACAGCTCTCCCACAGTCACATAGCTGTACAGGTAGGCTGAACCAGTTAGGGGTACCCGGGACCCAAACTCCGCATAGCAAAGTCCAGCGAATATAGATGCCAAGGCAGCAATGAAAAAACAAATGATGATACTCGGTCCAGAGGTGTCCCTTGCCACTTCACCAGACAGAACGTAGACCCCAGCTCCCAATGTGCTTCCAACTCCAAGAGCCACCAAATCCAAAGTGGTCAGGCATCTGTTAAATGTTGACTCCTCTCCATCAGTTTCAAAGGGCTTTCTCCTGGAGATGCTTAAGAGAAAGGACTTGACCACACGCTCACACCCCATTCTGCTTTCTGCCACTGCTGTCCCAAGCGCAGATGAGCAGACACTAGAAAAGGGCAGGTAAGTGTTTTAAAAGAGTGGGTGGGACAATGATATCTGATGAAGGTATACTGTCAAAACTCACTATTAATGTTTCCACTTTTTCCCCTTTTGTAATCAGTACATTTATTTACAGTCAAACTTTTTTACCCACTGAGCTATCAAACATTATCTTGATTTAGCAAAATTTAGTTATTTTGCTGTAACATGCAAACATCGGTCATGTATTATTGCTTCAGATTAACATAAGAATTGATTTTTTGTGATATTCAATTTCAATCAAATCCTAGCAAATATGAACTCACCTTGCCCTTTATTGAGAGTTCCTGTCAGACAGTGAAGTGATAAATAGTCATAACACATTTATATAAGCCCCTCTTTATCTGTGCTCTGTTATCTTAATGCTGATGCTGGGCATTTTACTTTAACGCCTTCACAACAACACCCAGCTCCAAGACTGCCCTTTACTCAGTCTTGTATTACTCACTCTTTAACAGTTATTTTACTAAGATTAAAAACAGTTATCACTTTTTTATTAATAGAAACGGTTCTGAACATGCTCTCTATATTTTCCCAAATATTTGTTACGGCCTAAACTTTGGAAATATGAAACAGATTTACTGACATATGTCCAAACCAAAACTTTTTTATCAGGAGTATTTTTTTTAAATCAGGATTTTTTTTTTTTTTTTTTTTTTTTTGATTGGAAGCTGCAGAAATAATGTTCTGAATCCTCTGTAATATGCAGTGGTTTCTGTATTGGTTGTATCAGCTGATAAGATTGAATTATTTGTTTGACAGTATGGCTAACTAACAATTATTTTAGTAGTTGACTATTGTATACTTGGTGATTGAAGACTTTGAGAGAATGTAAAATATATATGAATAAAGATAAAGTTCATTATTAGTGACAATCTAAAACAGTTTATTCTATTTTGACATTCAGTTAATGCAACTCTTTTAACAAAAATCTTTTGACGTGTGTGTGTGTATAAATATATATATATATATATATATATATATATATATATATATATATATATATATATATATATATATATATATATATATATATATATATATATATATATATATATATAAGCAGTTGTTCCTTATGCAGCCTCTTTACCTGATTCTACAAGGCCCCCATAAAACACCCAGCCCAGGACAAAGCAGCCTTCATGGCCAGTGCCCACCTCCACAGGTACTGTTCACCTTCTCATGTGCCACTGGGGGATTTCAGACCACCTAATCCCTTCAGGCATCCACCTGAGCAAATGGCCTTATTCTTGCAGCTTTGTTTTATCAATGAAATACAGTCTATGATATGCAGTCTTAATAGTTATTAAAGAACCATTTTGAACTCTAACGGGATGTTGAACACTGGCTAGCATAATTTAGTGTAATAATTCATCACTGTTGATATAATTTTTAACTTAGCCATTACTCAACATATTACTGTTTTTATTAAGTATTGTTAGTTTTTGTTTCAGAATATACACAGAGAAACAAATGCTATACAGTTTCATAAGCTTGCATATTATACATAGTGTCACACAAGCAACACTAAACCAGGTATTTAAAACTCAAAACCTTAAATGTCTTACCTTATCTTGAGATGTGATGCACTCCGTGGCCAAAGTTGCAGAGTGAACCACAAATTTCCTGCTGTTTTTCTTCTTGAAAATTTTAAGTCCCAATTTAAACAAATGTGGTCTGTGTGTGAACCTCCCACTCAATGGGATTAGTTACAAAGTCGCCTTTCTCGCCCTTGTTGACCATAATATGCCTGTTATTGTATGAATTAAACTTGGAGTGGCAAATCTGTCCAAAAAATGTGTGCATTTTTATTTTTTTTTTTAAATAAAAAAATCTGATTCTGATATTGAATATACTTGCCGTTTGCAACTTGTCAATGCTTAGAAATGGGTTGCTATCAAATCTTAAACTATGTGTTTTGGACTTCACAAACAATGAATACATGCATCTGAATACGTGCCATATTGTTATGTTTACTTAAATATTTGAATTCTCAGATTTAGTGTGCTGTACATTTTTCTGACACAAGAGGTCAGTACAGTACTGTCACTTTTTTAGCACAACTGAAGGTGAACAGTAAATAACTCAAAACAGGCAGCTCTTGATGAGCTATAAACACATTGTATTTATGTTCATAGTATCTTTATTTATACTATTATATTTTTTATTTGATTACATTGTTATTTTATTAAAACCCTTTGAGCCAAGTCAGTGGATAGATGCTTTGAGGCTCAAGTTAATAGAAACAAGCTATATATTACACAGATAATTTATACAGGAGACACTTCGAAACTTCTCTGTTTATCACATGGAAGTTGAAGGAAAATCTGTTTGAGGGTTTTATTTATTTTTCACAATATCACAAGTTATATAGTTCTAGCATAAATATGTGTCTGTATATAGCTTAGGCACTCCCCCACAACAGCCCTTCTCTCACCCCACTTCACTGTGAGCCTTGAAAGCTTGTTGCATCTCCCATACTTTCATCCTTATGGAGCTGAAGGAGCTAATGTGTGTGTGTCTGTGTTCGCTGTGTGCATGCGCAGTGACAGCTTTTGCATTTGCGTCATGAGAATCACAGCTCTGCCTGTCACTCATTTAAAAATATAAGCAGAATTAGAGACAGCCAGAAGGAGAGGGTGCATCAAGAGGAACTGTTAAGTTATGTGTGTGGTCATGGGGTCATGCCATTATTACAGGCCTGTGTTTAACAGTTTGTCCTGCTTCTTATTCGGGGCAATGAAAATAATTGTTACTAATCAACTATTAAAATAATCACTGACTACTTTAATTATTATTATTGATTATAATTGTTGGTGTTATAATTATAACTATTTGATTAAGTTAAGATTAAGATTAAAAATGAGCCATCAGTCTTTATTCATGCTAAGATCCTTAAAACAACACACTAAATATTACATATTAAATATTAGCTTTATCAAGGTAGATTTTCAAAAAACTTGCAATAAAAAGTCAATTTTTAATTGAGGCAAGCTAATTTGGGCCAATTCACCTGGAAGCCTGAGGGTCAAGAAAAATGTGTCTGCCACATTTGGCCCACAGGCCTTGGTTTGGACATGCCTGATCTAAATAAAAAAAATCAAAATCAAAATAATAATAATAATAATAATCACTGAATAGTTGGCTACTACAAAAATGGTTGGTTGCAGTCCTACTCTAAAGCAGTTTAAACTAGTTTTTGCTTGTTTCCTTTGTTTATAGTATTCATTTGGATTATGCCATATACAACAGATAAAATAGAAGTTTAAAAAGTGTGTAAAGAAGATGTACATTAAACATGAGTAGAAGATGATTTATGAAAATGATGATTGTTTGAAAGCATGAAAGCACGCACAGTATCAAATGTCAGTCTTTGATGAACCTGCCTCTCACTGTGACTTTTGCTTGTGAGTGTGGAGTTTACACTGATTCACACTGACACCAGGGTAATGTTAACTGAGTCAACCCTCTCACTTTCTTACCATCAATATTATTTATTATTTTCATTAGCTTTAATTTGTTTTTTGCCATTTGTTAGAATAGCCCACTTTCTCTGCAACTCATCAATCAATAACTGAACACGAGTAGTCTGCCTCCAGTTTCTCTTAGGCAAACTGTGTGAATAATCACGCGGATGACCTTATGTCCCATCAAATCCCTATAGAGGTTTGTAATGCCTCCCTCGCCTTCACACCCAGGACAGTGTGGTCTGATCTGCTCTGTTCACAGCTTGAGGAGGCAGATGACCCTCCACCAGGCAGCTCCAAGTGATTCTTGATTCTGATGAACAGATGAAGCGGGTTTCATTGTAATTGGCATTGACCTGGAGCTTTTGGTATCCACTAATGACTGATGAGCACACCCTCCTTTCTAACCCACTCAGGCCCATATGTTTACCACAAAGGATAGAGTCATAATACTTGAACATGATTAGCATTAACAAAATTATGATATCTGTATGCGTTGAGTACTGTAACAAGGCATTTGACCAATAAGTATTTAAGAATCCTACAAATGTGTACAAATGTGTACAAACTAGGCAAACTAGGCAAAAGTGCATATAGTTTCAGTGATGGAACATAAAAAAGTGAAAGTAGTAAAGTAGCCTAATGTACGTAAGTACAAATGTTATTTATCTGTAGGTCTAGTTTGAGTACATTTTTAAGTGGATACTTTTTTACTTATACTTTACTACATTTGAGAGCAGGTATCTGTACTTTCTACTCCACTATCTTTGAGAAGGACTGAAAATTGTTATTATTGTTTGAGACTTGCTGAAAAGGCTGAGAGGTTTATTTTGAACACGTTCATAGTTTGAGCAAACAAAAAATATCAAATAAAAACAACTAGAAAAAAAAAAAAAATATATATATATATATATATATATATATATATATATATATATATATATATATACTTGTTTCTACTGAACAAAATTCAGCACAATTTAAATACGATTTTAAACGAGTACTTTTTAGGCACTTAGGTAGATTTTTTTCATGTGAGACTTACTTTTATTTGAGTATCTACTTACTTAAAATTTCACCACTGCACTCTACGCAACTGAGACTTCCGACAGGCTCACCTTTTAACTTTTTGTTTACATGTTTCCTTAAAACCTCAAACACGTTCACCCATTAGTGCAATTTTCCTTGACTTCTTTTAGAAATATGGGCATTCTTTAGCTCCTTTCCATACTAAATTTGTACTTCACACATAGTATTCTTGCTTCAAAGGCTAAATGAGTGTTCCAAGATTTTATGCCTTGGGTTCAGTTCTCCTCACAGCCCACGTTATAGACTAATTTGGCTTCTTCCTCAGATGCGTAATATGATGGCATATGGCACTGGACATTTCAAAACAAGACCACACTGTTGTTAATTATAGTGTGAAGATGAGGCACGACTGATTAAAATGTACGGGCATAATGTGACTGAAAGCGACAGTGATCAGATGCATATGGTAATGACAACTGCTTTTCTGGACCGTTCTTCCGAGATGTCTCTCCTCCTTTCTAGTGACGTATCTCTGAGCCTCCGCTGCCCACGGCTGTGGGCGCGATTTGCAGACTATAAAAGCGTGTACCGGGCTTATGGGCGTCACTGCGAGCCGCCGCAGTACCTCGATCACCAAAGCAGAGCAGAGATAGCAGCAAGCAGGCACCTCCACGCTGCGCAGGCTAACTCGCTTTTGACTTTGGCTCGAGATGGAGACACGTTGGACCATTAGACGCACATACACCAACTTTAAAGGTAAGTTGAACTTGCAGCATGTCGCCGTTTTTGGTTGTTTGCAATGTTTATGTATGTCTGTTGTACTGTGGTGCTATTAAGCACAAAATAGTGTATTACTGAATGTAACACATAAAGAAAATATAAATATACAACTGTTAAATTGGCAGGCAAATGTGAAGAGTCATTACCAGTCTACAGTTCATAAACTTGACCACTGTACTTTTACTATCTGCCCACTTCTAACATTTTTGGTGCTTTTACGCACAGTTGCTGCAAAGCGTAATGCGTTAATTTATTCGATATCGTCCTACCCTTAAATAAGATTTACCTTAGGTGTCTCGTTGCACTTAAGACTGGTTGTCTCGCTCCGCTAATAGTCCGGCTTGTTTTGGGGTCAGGGGGTGAGGCCGTTGGAAAATCTTGCGCACAGTCGATGAATGGGAAGTTCATTATTATTTAAAACATGTACTTTTCCTGCGGTGGTCCTTTCTGTGTGTAGCCATTCGAGCTGTACCAAGAAGCTCAAGAATTATTGATGACAACCTGAAACTGATGAGGCTCCGTTTACCTGTTTTACGCGTGGTGCTTGAATGGCAAACTCCATCACAACATCCTTTTGGTGTAGTTTGCGTGGGAAACGGAACTCAGGGTTAATTTTATGCAGTGCAGCACCTGTGCCCCTACATTAAAATATGTCTTATATATATTTGTTTCAAACTGATAGTTATATAATGAACTTTCATTGTAAGCTGATCATGCAGATATCAATGGGGTAATGTCAGGTATTAATTATAAAAGAGCCATGAAGTTCAGTGAACATTAACAAGTCAGGGGTTATTATTATAAAGAATTGCTCTTATTGATTTAACAATGCAATACTACATAATTGAAGTAATGCTGCTATATGAACCTACTGTGGTTTTGCTGACCTGACTTAAACTGTGGCCTCTCTTGTGTAACCTCAGGTGGACTGATACTATGGCTGATACTGTGGCTGGTGGTGGTGAAGTCGGGCAGGGTGACAGCATGCCCCAAGCTTTGTGTCTGTTACCCCTCGCCCATGACGGTCAGCTGCCAGTCTCAGAATCTCATCACAGTCCCATCAGATGTCCCCTATGACTCTCAGCGTGTTTTCCTACAAAACAACCGAATCACTGAACTTCGCGCTGACTCCTTTGGCTTTGAAACACAGGTGAGAATACTGTTCAAATATACAGTATATTTTAATATATTCTGGGATATCCTTAAAGGTTTCTCAATAAGTATCTTCTAAATCTGCAAAGTTATTATAATAGAACCAACACATAAATCTCTCTTTATGCAGGTGCTTTGGTTGTATGGCAATGACATCACGTGGATTGAGGCTGGGGCTTTCAGTAACCTGCGGGTTCTGGAGGAGCTGGACCTGGGAAATAACCCCTCTCTGCGGCATTTGGAGGGGGGTGCCTTCAGAGGACTGGAGAAGTTGCAGAGCCTGCACATGCATCGCTGCAAGCTGGCCACTCTCCCCCACGACCTCTTTCACAAGCTGTATAGTCTCCAGTTCCTTTATCTACAGGTACACTAAATATCCACCTCACAAGCACAAAGTAGGCCCATATCTTACACTGTATAAATTATACAAAAGTATTATACAATTTTATAACATATTTATTTTCAAGGCATTATGACTACTGAATGTTAACAGTACAATATTCAGAATAAATAAAAAACTTAGCTGGGGTGGCAATACTTTACCCATATATGAAGGTAGTGCGTGAGTTATTCATATCAGCCATGTTTCTATCAGTCAGCCCCATGGTAGCTAAGCATGGAGAGTGAATGAATAAAGCATTAAACTATAGAAGTAACCTGACTTTCTGCAAAATGGGTATATAACATTAAAACCTAATGATTACAAAAACTAAACTGAAAATACATTATGTAGGGTAAATTTTGTAGGTTCAAGTAGTGTTTAATTTGCTGTGTTCTACCTCCAGGAGAATCAACTTCACTTCCTTCAGGATGACCTGTTCTCAGACCTGGTTAACCTCACTCATCTCTTTCTGCATGGAAACCGCATTCGTGCTTTGTCTGAAAATGTCTTCAGAGGCTTGGTCAACCTTGATCGCCTCCTACTCCATGACAACCGCATCCGTCAGGTGCACCGCAAGTCCTTCATGGACTTGGGCCGCCTGACCATCTTGTACTTGTTCAATAACTCCCTGGCTGAGCTGCCAGGACAGACCATGAGGGATGTTCAAGGCATACAGTTCCTCCGCCTCAATGGTAACCCCTGGTCATGTGGCTGTGAGGCCCAGCCTTTGTGGGAGTGGTTTCGTAAATCCAGAATCTCTTCCTCTGAGGTTGTGTGCACCTCACCGTCACAGCGACGTGGTCAAGATCTCAGGTTCCTCCGTGAGCTGGACTTTGCCCTTTGCCCTGTACCTGATCCTGGCTCTATGGCAGGTACCACCACTACCACATTCAGCACCAAGACCCGCTGGTGGTTCTCCAAAAACAAGCCTGCATCTTCATCCAAATCGCTGTATCAGAAAAACTCTGAGACAGTGAAGACCTTCCCTAAAGCCCAGTCCCCTCCCAAAACCCCCTTTGAGTCTGTGCCAGCTAAGTATGAGATGTCAGAGGATGAGGCAGCGCTGCCTAAGCTTGACCCAGAGGAATACTGGGCTAATTATGGCAATGAAGATGCCTCTATTCGCTGCTATGAACTGGAGTGCCCACCAGGTTTTGATAACTCAGCCTTCTATTCATCCTCCACTCTAACCAGGGTCCCATCCTTTCTCCATCTTCTCACTCTGTCTTTAGTGGCCATCTCACTGCATTTAGTTTTTGGCTGAACCACTCTTTCACTCCATACTGAAGTGTCACTGCTCTAAACTGTCACCTGTGAATGTTGGCACATATGATCTTGTAAACAAAAGGTGAGAGTAAGAATGATGAGTTATATGAGATGTAACGCAAAACTGCATTCACTGCAATAGAAAGTACAGGCATGTGCTAAAAAGGCATTTTGGACCAGAATAAGAGACTACAAGAGCCGAAACAGTTAGCCAAGATGAACATTGAATCTGTGGCAGATGTAAAACAATGCAGGCGTTGTTGATATACCAGCATTTTAATATTTTCATATTTTTTAAATATGTTAATATGTTAATCTAATTGTTTAGAAATAACATGCATGTATATAAATATAGCATCTTATGCATTTTAGACTAGAAGGTAACTTGTTAAGGTGGAACAAGATAAGTATTGAATGTTCTTTTTTAGCGTCATGTTTTGACCTTTTCATTGCACTCCATAACAATGTAAACATATGGTCCTCACTCATATTTCACTTCTGAAAGTGAACACAAAGTAGTGGTGTTGTTTAATAATCAACAACTTGGTGGAAGGAGCCACATTTAACAAATCCTCATCTCTCTTACAATGTTTGCTTTAATTCCTCATATATCTAATTGTCACCTTTATCACCAAGAATCAACAATACCAAAGCTCCAAAATACTTAGTAACCTTTGGATTTGTAATGACTGTAATGAGTGAGTGTGTAATGATGACTGTGTGAAAGAAGAAGAAGAGTCTAACCTAAATTTTTAAAAAAAACACACATTATTGTGATATTAATCCTTGTTTTATTTTTGTAAAAATCTGATATTTTAATGATTCAGTAAAATATCTAGAGCCAGGTTCCATTGATTGTATATGCATTAGCGAAAGGTTATAGGACCCTTATATCACAAAGCTGTATCATGACTGTGATACTGTGACCTTGTTCTATTTAATTTGAAGTGTTTTTATTAATAAAACATAAAATAAATTCAATTGTGTGTGTTTTATGAGGTACTAGATTTTTATACTATATAAAAAATTATTTTATTTTGTGAATATTGTGAGAAGAAACATCATGATTTATGATTAGTCATGATTATTGGCTAACATGACCTACAGTAAAATCCCTAATTTTCTTCACACTCTAACACTATTATTTCTCAAGTATGTGATCAGCTCCGTGTAATTAAACTTTATGAGTGAAAAAAAGTTAATCTGACATAAGGAGAAGTACTATGAAAATGTAGTAAATAAAAAGTACTATCCAATGAGGTGTACTTCGTGGACTACACATTGAATAGATAGATTGAATTTAAAAAGGCTTAATTTTGCTTCTAAAATTGTCTATTATTTTTTAGTTCTTACAGTTATATTGTGACCTCAATAATCAGATTTATTTATTTATTTTATTCATTTTGTTCTCAACTTGCCTGAAACCCATGAATACCAAACACAGGCCCAGTGACAGTCTTTGAGCGTGCGGGTTTTGTTTTTATGTTACCTCACAATATTTTTCCAGGCTCATTATAATACGACATGTATAAATATGGTGTTGTGGGGTTAGAAATGTGTTGATTAAAGGCTGACAAACACAAGCTGATATGATTCAGGGATGGGGCGGAATGGGGCAGAAGCCAGGGAGAAACTGTGACAATTTGTCCCAGAACCCAACACCCCCTCAACAGATTTAACAGTGAGGTGATGGGGATGATGAAGAGGGAGATTTGTGTGGTTTCAATATGCTTATTAGCTTGGGCCAGTGATACAGCCCAAATATATGTAAAGCAGAATTTTGATCCTTGGAGCTCATGGTTAATATTTATAATAATGCCTTACACTAGGCTCGACAAAGCCTCTCAAAGGGCAACACTGTAGTCATCATTCACTCCACTACTATTGCAGCCACAGTTGCCCTGGGTGTTAGACAGGCTGCCAGTCTGCGCCATCGTTCCCTCCGGGCATCACCATTCACTCACACACACACCACTTTTATACTACGCAAAGTGAAAAAATACAAATTTTATATAGATGCAAACCTTTTAGCATGTCCAAAATCTGTGCATTAATATTTCTGAAGCTTTTCTTTTTTTATCATTAAATATAAAGGTATAGCCTACACCTTCATTCATCACACTGATCAGATAAAGAGAGAGACAAATATATTTTTGTATACTGTTTTTTTCTTTCTTTTTTTTTTTTCTTTTAATGACTTGGGTGGTTGTGTGCTTTCCGGTTGTTGTTTTTTTTTTTAAATCCTCAGAACATACCATACAGAGACCTACTTCAGGGATAGGTTATGACATACTGTGCCCACTCATTCCCAACTTCATCTTCTATTTTCTCTTTGTTATTTTGTGTCTGTTTTTGATTGCCTCAGATGTGGGTGTTCATCAGATGTCACTCAGTCTTTGTTCCTAAAGCGTCATCCAGTTTTCTCTTGTTTACCTTTTTAGGCTTGTGTTGGCACAGTGTTGGTCATTGTGTGTTTAGTGACGTCTATTTCACACATGGCAGTGACAGCCAACAGCCGGATGAAGCCATTTTATAGAAAAATACATCAATATTAGTTTAAGTCTTGGTATTAGCAGTATTAATATTAGTAAAATGACTATTCAACAGTTACAGCTGCCCAAACAAATCTATAATTAATGGTCAGCATTTGCATCACTCTTACACTGACTGGTCTCCCATTGTCCGGCATGAAGAAATCTGAGCCTCTGGAGCCGTGAACCTGTAACACACAAAAAGCAAAAAGGGCAGGGGATAATCTGGTATAAAAACATCACCATTCACACTGAATGCATGTAATTTCACTATTCTGTTTATTATAGGCTCAACTGCAATACAAATAATTAATTGTGCTGTTAATCCAACTGAATTTGTGCATTATGAATGTTTAAATGAAAATATTTAAGCATGCTATATGGTTGAAAATACTGTCTCACTAAATTTGACAGTTTATTAAATGTGTATTAACCTAACTGAAAATGTGTTCTTGTGTGTGTCATTGTATTTTTAAGAGGAATTTAAAAAATCATAGGTTACTGTATCTTGTGTTTTAAAAGCCTTATTTATGCTGGCGTCATTTTTGGTTCTAATTTATTAAAAGAGGGGGTGAGGGCCTATAGCTGCACATGTCATTTGTTAAAATCAGTACTTCAGCGAATTAGCCGCTAAAACTAAAAATATGCTTCAGCAGATTGCAAAGCCATATTTTACAATCATGGAAAAGATGCATGGCTGATTTAGTAGCCCATCTGCCAGTTTATCCAAGCAATCCTATGGTATGGTGAGGCAAGTGTGGGCAAAAGCTTGTTTTGAAAATGACAACAAAGCTGTTTGGTAATATCATTTTGTGTACCTTTTTTTGAATGTATTATATTTTGTATAAACCTATATTTATATATATTTTAATCCCCCTGCTCTTGCTTAATTTTTTATTGACTTTTATTTAACCAGGATCGTCCTGCTGAGATTAATAATCTCTTTTTTAGGAGTTCTGGCCCTACAGGGTACATGTTTTTAGTGGTAGGTGAAACCAGAGCACTTGGAGGAAACCTACATAGGTACAGGGAGAACACATAAACTCCACACAGAATGGCCCTGCACCACCCCAGAATTGAACCCAGAACTTTCTTACTGAATGTGAGAGTGCTAGCCATGACCGCCACCATACCGACCTAAATTTAATAGTGACTGAGCCTGAATTTCTATCCCAGACAGGCCTATGTATAGGCTATAAAATGCCACCAGTTTTCGCCCTTTGTCCTAACTTCTAAATAAATGGTCATATAAATAGTAGCTCAGTGCTTTTCTATCTTCAATGCACTCAAAGTGCTTTACATCAAGTAACCCTTCACCCATTCACACACATTCACATATCACTTTATTAAATCAAACTTTATTTCTGAACATTTTTCATACAAAAATGTAACACAAAGTGCTTTACAGTCATTAAAAACAATCCCACATGCCCTTTCACTCAGCCGCCCTTCCCTCACAACTGCCTGACCCTATCATACAACCCACACACATACAGTCACAGTCACCGTCTCATCCACGTACGCATAGACACACACACGCACGCACGCGCACGGACGCACATACACACGCACACACAGACACTAAAAACATAAGGCTGAGTACGCATATAGGCTAAATGACAGTGTACACAGACACTGGGTCAAGAGGGTTACATATCTTGCCCAGGGACACAAAGATATTTATCTAGCCTGTCAAACCTCATCAAATCATTTACGTATGAGTCAGTGGACCTGATCACTCTAAGTTCATGTCAGTGGGATTCGAACCATTGGTCAGAGGACCAGCTGAACCACTGCCGCCCGATTGGGCTATCGCTGCTTAAGACTAGTTTATGGTCTGGCCGCGTCAATCTCTGCTCAGCTGAGACTTCTTGTTCTGACACAGAATTGAATCTGCAGAGCTACGTGTTTCATTTGCATTTATTTGGCTTATTTACTAGGACAATAAACAGTCACTTTAGGATTCTTCGCATACATTTTTGTACCAAACTGTTCTGAACAGTTTTTAATCAGCTGTCCATATAGTCAATGTGGATGAACCAGTCATCGTGTTTGCGCGTATTTACGTTTTGGCCATTGTGCACGTACACACGCACGCTTTCTGATTACTATCAAGTGCGTCGCGGAGCCGTGCGGAACATGTCCGTAGATTTGACGCTGGACCATAAGCAAGCCATAAACCAGCTTGAAGTGTCCTAATTTCTTGTCCTGTATCATGAAACCTGTGGAAATCATTCTGACAAAAAACTAAATTACCAGAACCAATAAACGATGTTAAAGCCTGTAAGTAGTCGGAAATCCAGCTGGCCTATTTTCAAGAATGGCACATTGTCACTAGATGGCAGTAATGCGACGTACTAAAATCTGCAGAAGAAGAATAGTCAGCGCGAAAGTTTTGTAATCAGAATGGCTTCCAAAACAGGTTTGTAAATTTAAGTTATTCGCGTGGTTTCGTCGTATACTACTGTTTTTATTAATTTTATCACTTTGTGTTGTGTAAATAGGTCGTCGAGGAGTGAAACGCAAAGCTGCTGAGGTCCAGGCAGAGGAAGCCTCTGTGGGCGACACCGAAAAAGGAGAGAATGCCTTGCAGCAAGAGGGAGAGAGAGTGGTGATAGAGCACTGGTGAGCACAGCACACTGTACATGGGTTTAAATGTAAAATACTGTATGTCGTTGTGGGGTCTCCGTTCACCAATAACAGATGCACCATGGAACTTTTCAAGTGGAGGGTGCTCCACCTACTTGTCTTCATGAGCTCACTGCCTTGTTACTGTAATAATGTACGTTTTTCAGCAATAAACCACGGTAATTAAATACATGAAAAATTATTACTTTTAATGTTATATTGTGCAACATTACTGACAAAGCAAAAGGCTCTCCGTGGAGGCATGCAGGAAGTGAACTCCTCCCAGAAAAGTGATGCAGTGCACTTTTAAGTGGCCCTCATGGTAGGCATAACATTTTTTGTGCAGTTTTGGTGAATTTAGCTTGCCAGTCACAGTTTTTATGAGTTCACAAATGGCCCCTTAATGGACAAACTAAAATGGACAATAATGGGCAACTTCACCAAACTCATCAAATTCTCCATAGATATTCCCACAAGTAACCCTAAATTAAACACAACAATAGATCAAAGCAACAGAAACTGTTGTGAGGCTCAAAATGACTAAACAGTCTTTGTTCAGGTCCGTTTTGGTTGTGTTGTATGGTGAGACATTTCTTTTTGAAGTGCTCATGCTTTTATGAGGATTCAGGTTGTTGACGGTCGCACCTTTTGGCACTTTGACAAATGCTGTTAAACTAACTAAACGTTGCTAAAGCTGGAGACTATTATTGTCAGTGTTTTGACATCTACTACTGATATACAAGAAATGAATCATTTCAAGTTACCTGTCACAAATTGTCCCAGTTCTTCATAGTGGTTCAGATTAGGTCACTTAGCGATTGTTTTACAATCCCCAATCATGCCATTCTTACCATTCTTACATATGGGCTGCTGTGTGTGTCAACCATAAAAGGCAATACAAAGCAGTCACATGAGTTCTGAACACCCAGGTGCCCGACCGTGATAATTTATCCTGATATTTTAATTCACTGGATAAATACCCCTCACCTCCACTTCTATGAAACCAAAATTGTAATTCTGTAGTGAATTTGCCATAACGCTTTGAAAAAAAAAATCATGTTATTTGTTGCAGCAAAAGCTGAAGAGTGTATGGGCGAAATGCACAGGAGGTGAAGTCTGCACTTCTCAATGCACGCCCTGATCTCACTGTGCTTCTCAACCCACAAAAACCTCGCAGGAATAGTTTTGAGATTACCTGGATGAATGGAGACAAAGGTAAAATGGTATTATGTTATGTTTCCCCCAACATATTTAGCAAGTACTTGCTGCTAGCTATAGTAGTTGCTGTTTGGTATTATTTAGTTTTACCTTAATATATTTAATATGGTTTCTTTTACTAGAAAAAATATTATGGACCGGATTAAAGAAGGGACCACCTCGAAAGCTGAAGTTTCCTGAACCAAGTGTTGTGGTTTCTTCTTTAGAGGAGGCCCTGAAGTCTGATTAGATGCGAAGTGAAGGTTTGCCGTCTTCCAGCCAATAACCTTATTAATTTTTTTGTCCCTGTGTAAATTTGCTTTCAAATGTAAAAGACATTACAAACTAAGGAACTCCTGATTCAGTATTAATTCAGTATTACATTAAGATTAATATAAAATAATGGATATCCAGAAACAAATATGCAATGTACATTGTATGATGTTAATTCATTATGTGCAGTCCAAATTGTTCAAAACCTGCTATATAAAATCTCTTTTTTGTATATTGTAGATTTATGTTTTTCCAAGAGATATGGCAGTTGAAGCCGCATGACGAAGACAGACCAAAGAGATCTTCTCAGTCTTTCTTCTGATGAAACCGCTTCAGCTGCTGATTACTTGGAACAAGACTGTCACCTAGTGGGATATCTGAGAAAGAGCGCATTTTGTTTGCCCTTTTTTAAATTTTTTTTAATTAAATTTGTTTTTTTTTCTTTTTTACCGTGGAAGTTCATAAAACTCCTAATAAAACTCGTTTACCACCATCACTGCCTCATTTTATCCAGTCTGCTGGAATTTTCCATGTTACAGCTGCATATGGGCAAGATTCTATTGGACGTCTAATTATTACGTCATAATCACGCGACCGTAAAGCGCCAGCATTTCCATTCAAATAAAGCACGACTTGGAAGATTTCAAAGGTATTTACTAATAAAGTTGTAAGTAAAATATTTTTCCCCGAAACATAGTGTATAATGGTTTAATAATAACTTTATATTGAGTAATGGGAGGTAGGATTTAACTTGTCTAAGGTAGTTGTGTTGTTGATGCGAACTAACTGATAATGTTAAACTGATAATGTGATTTTCTTGTTCTGTATGAAGTCAGCTTTTTGTTAATGGGATATTACTTGTTTTAAAGCTACAGTGATGGCGACGGAGGTTTTAGAAAAGCCAACTGAGGATGTTCCACCTGGAAAAGTCGGCACCAGATTTGACCTGGAAAAGGAGACTGAGCTCAGATTCGAGGTGGAAGCCGGTGATGGAGCTGAACAGGTTGAGCTAGAGCTACTGTCTGGCATGGCAGAGGTGTTTGGATCAGAACTGAATCGAAACAAAAAATACACATTTGGTCCTGGTGCTAAGATCGCTGTGTTTACTTGGCAAGGCTGTAGTGTAAATCTGTATGGGAAACCAGAGGTGAGTAAGCCAATTTAAAAAAAAAAAAAAAAAAGTTTGGGTAGTTCTAACCATCTCTCTATTACACAGGTGGCTTATGTCTCTAAGGACACCCCAATGTTGCTTTACCTAAACACCCACGCTGCACTAGAACAGATGAGAAAACAAGCAGAAAAGGACAATGAGAGGGGGCCAAGGGTAATTTTGTATATTTTAATGGAATAAAAGGGTGGGTGTTTCATAGCACTGATTGATTTGTGTCTATTTTTCAGGTAATGGTTGTGGGCCCTACAGATGTGGGCAAGTCAACAGTCTGTCGTTTGCTACTCAGCTATGCTGTAAGAGTGGGAAGAAGGCCAACGTTTGTAGAGCTGGATGTTGGTCAAAGTGGGGTAAATATGTTTGACTAAATATCTATGATAAACAAATTCAATGCAGCAAAACGCATTTGGATATTATATATATAAAATTTTCCTCAGGTGTCTGTCCCTGGAACAGTTTCTGCACTATGCATTGAAAGACCGGCTGATGTTGAAGAGGGTTTTTCAGTTCAGGCGCCACTGGTATACCACTTTGGCTCAACTACCCCAGGAACAAACATCAAACTTTACAACAAGGTAAGACAGTGGGCATATATAATTTTTGTCTCTGAAATACATAACCTATTTTTCAATTTACATTGCAGCTAACATCTTGCCTAGCTGAGGTATTTTCACAACGCTGCGAGGTGAACAGAAAGGCGAGTGTGGGAGGATGCATAATAAACACCTGTGGATGGGTTAAAGGCTCTGGCTACCAGGCTCTAGTCCACTGTGCATCTGCCTTTGAAGTTGACGTGGTGTTGGTACTTGACCACGAGAGACTCTACAATGAGCTGAAGAGAGACCTTCCCCACTTTGTCAGAGTTGTGCTCCTTCCCAAGTCTGGGGGAGTTGTGGAGCGATCCAAGGAGTGCCGACGCGATGCTCGTGATGAGAAGATCCGTGAATACTTTTATGGCTTCCGTGGTGTTACCTTCTATCCATTCTCTTATGAAGTGCGCTTCTCTGATGTCCGTATCTACAAAATTGGAGCACCATCAATCCCGGACTCATGCTTGCCCTTAGGAATGTCTCAAGATGATACACAGTTAAAGTTGGTACCAGTAACTCCAGGTAGAGATCTTACATATCACGTGTTAAGTGTAAGTAGTGCAGACGATGGAGAGGACGGGGTAAGGAAGGGTATAGTTGAGACCCCTGTGTGCGGTTTTATTGTTGTGACAAATGTGGACACCCAAGCTCAGGTGATGAAAGTGCTCTCCCCAGCTCCTCGACCTCTACCAAGACACACACTGCTGATAATGGACATTAGATTCATGGACATGAAGTAGTAACTGTTATCTGGGTGAAAATATTTAATATTTTGCTATGCTATCCTATGGTTTTTTGTTTTTTTTTAGCGATTATAACTTTATTATAAATGCTGTAATTAGCTGGCATGTGTTTGCGTTTTGAATTTGGCACAATTTAAACGTTTTTCCTAATGAATAAAAAAAAAAAATTAAATGCCAGAAAATAGTGCATTTACAGAAATGTTATTAATGTACATTGTCCCTTTTAAATAAATAAACCTGATACACTGCAAATAATTATTTCATCCATTTTCTTCCGCTTTTCCGAGGCCGGGTTGTGGAGGCAGCAGTCTAAGCAGGGACTCCCAGACTTCCCTCACCCCAGACACGTCCTCCAGCTCCTCCTGGGAGACCCCGAGGCATTCCGAGGCCAATCAAGAAACATAGTCCCCCCAGCGTGTCCTGGGTCTTCCATGGGGAGTCCTTCCGGTGGGACATGCCTGGAACACCTCCCTGGGGAGACGCCCACGAGGCATCTGGAACAGATGCCCGAGTCACCTCAGCTGGCTCCTCTCGACGTGGAGGAGCAGCAGCAGCTCTACTCCGGGCCCCTATCTCTAAAGGAGAGCCCAGTCACCCTGTGGAGGAAACTCATTTCGACCACTTGTCCTTTCGGTCATTACCCAGAGCTCATGACCATAGGTGAGGGTAGGAATGAAGATTGACCGGTGAATCTCTTCCCCACAACGGTCTGATAAAACAACCGCATCACTGCAGTTGCTGCAACAATCCACCTGTCAATCTCACGCTCCATCCTCCCTTGAGTCGTGAGAAAGACCCTGAGATACTTGAACTCCTCCACTTGAGGCAGGGCCTCTCCACCCACCTAAAGAGAGCAAGCCACCTTTTTCCAGTCGAGAACCATGGCCTTTAACTTGGAAGAGCTGATCCTCATCCCAGCCACTTCACACTCGACTGTAAACCGCCCAGTGCATATTGTAGGTCCTGCTTTGATGAAGCCAACAGGACAACATCATCTGCGAACATCAGAGATAAGATCCTGTGGTGCCCAAATCGGACCCCCTCCAGCCCCTGACTGCGCCTAGAAATTCTGTCCATAAATACAACGAACAGAATCGGTGACAAATGGCAGCGCTGGCTGAGTCCAACATGCCGGGAACAGGTCTGACTTACTGCCGGCAATACGAACACAGCTCCTGCTCCAGTCATACAGAGACTGGACAGCCCTTAGTGAAGGGCACCGAATTCCATACTCCCAGAGCACCCCCAACAGGACACCACGAGGGACACGGTCATATGCCTTCTCCAAATCCACAAAGCACGTGTGGACTGGTTGGGCAAACTCCCATGAACCCTCGAGCACCCGATGGAGAGTGTAGAACTGGTCCAGTGTTCCACGGCCAGGATGAAAACCACACTGCTCCTCCTGGATCCGAGGTTCGACTATTGGCCGGATTTTCCTCTCCAGTACCCTGGCATAGACCTTACCAGGGAGGCTGAGGAGTGTGGGGAAGGTCCTCAAAGTAGGAGGAGGTCCTCAAAGTATTCCTTTCCTGGACCCAACTCACAACCAGGTGGTGATTGGATGACAGCTCAGCCCCTCTCTTCACCTGAGTGTCCAAAATACGTAGCTGGAGGTCAGATGACACAACGGCAAAGTCGATCACTGACCTCGGCCCTAGGGCATCCTGGTGCCACGTGCACTGATGGACACCCTTTGTGCTCGAACATGAAATTAATTATGAACAAACTGTGACTAGCACAGAAGTCCAGTAACAGAACAAGGTGGCACGGTGGCTGAGTGGCTAGCACTTATGCCTCACAGCAAGAAGTTCCGGGTTCAATCCCTGGTTTGCCCGGACCTTTCTGTGTGGAGTTTGCATGTTTCTCCTCGTGTCTGGATGGGTTTCCTCCGGGCACTCCAGAGATCTCTGGACATGGAGCTCTTTTGGGCTCTGCCTGGCCTGGCCCTGTGGGGAAAGGCCACCAGATGCTCGCCTTTCGACCACCCACCCCAGGCCTGGCTCCAGGGTGCGGTCCCAGTGACCGCAATCCGGGTAACATAACTAGCCTTTTTTTTTTCTTTTATAAAATAATTATTCAGAAATGTTAAAATTCTTCCAACTACTATTACAGCAGTATGTTTTTATGGCTATGCATAACATATTGCATATGTACAAAGGAAAACTGTGAGGTACAATTCAAAATTCCTGTTTTACAAGAGTGTTCTACTTCAACTGTTTGTTCTGTAAGCAGCAATAAAATGCAGAACTGACTGAACTGCAGAAACTAGGTTTACCGATGACAGTATTGTAAATGATAAATAAAGACTTGGAGATATTTGTCATAGTGAGGGACAGGAGGACACTGAACAAACTGCTCTCCATCATACATGGATACTCCTACTCACCCACTGCACCAGACTATATAGGGAGAGAGGAGCTCATTCTCCAACAGGCTCCTACATAGATACATACCATACTCCAAACAACTGTACAACAATAACCCTGTGTCCTGTCAGTCATCATATCATTGTTGCACTGTCTTCCTATAACCTCTTGTATGAAGCTGTGATTTTATATTTATTACTTATCTATTTTCTTTTGACTTGTACGTTTACATTTATATAATTGTCTTATTATTTGACACCTGTCTCTTGCTATCTTTTTTTGCTACTTATTTAAAATGTATTATTACCATTTATATTTTTTATTCTTTGTTATTATATTATGTAGTGATGAGAGATCTACTGTGTCCAAATAATTTCCCTTGTGGATCAATAATGTTTGTCTAAGTCTAAATTGTTATGGTCTTTTCTCCTGTAAACGGAGCCCTCACCCCGGACTCTGATTGGCTGCTGACCCACCTGAGTGATGACGTGCTACTTCCTGGATTCCGATGTCGGCCTAGCTAACCGAGCTAACGAGTTTGTTTGCTGCTAACTCAAGGATGACCGAAACGACCAACACCCTGAAGCCAAAACAACCCATTTGATCGATATTAGGTAAACCAAACTTCTTTCGTCTGTTCCCAGCGATGTACGCAAAACGGATTATAATTTATCTCGAAGAGTAATTTGCCACAGAAAGGCTGTCTATTAAGGTTCAGTCTCCCATGCTAGTCAGTTTAGCTAACTTCAGTGGTGGAAGACTGATAAGCGTCGCAAAAAACTTTTCATGCAAGGTAAGTTTTAATTGAGCATCGAGCAAAGTGTGTATTAGCGGCTCAATTACATAACCAACATTAAACCCAGAACACTGCTAGTGGCTCTTGTAGTTACATTATTTGCAGATGTTCGTTGTGGTATGATCGGACTGTGGCAGATGTCAGCACTAAATTGAACCGTAGCGATGGCTTGGCTCTACTGTACAATGCCATCGCGAACCAAAACTTCAGGCTTCTTTCACAAATCCATACAACTTGATTGAGTCAAAATGTTAGTCGCTTAAGCGGGGTTTATCGGCAACGTGCCTGCAGACGTACGGTTGCAGACAAGACTCGAGGTGGAGAGGATTATGATCCATAGGGACAGATTGTCGTGAGGTACATGAGATGATTAACAAGTGACATTTTGCCTCGGCCACGCTTCAATATTTGTTGGTGATTGTTGAGGGGTGGGGTGTGTCGCAGCTCTCATATTACACTGTTAGGATCAGCTTCCAGTGCTTTCTCGACACCTATCAAAGAGACAGTAAAATTAGTCACGAAAGTCTAGTCTTGTCACTGATCCAGGTCCCTTGAGTATCTTCAGTTTCTAGTATGAGAAAGAGGTGTGTTACATTTGACCACCTGGGTCATTCATTTAACAGCTGTGTATCGGCAGCAGACCTAGTGACTGGAGTACTAGAACTACACAAAATAAATTGTGAAGTATTGGCATTGCATTTGAATTTTGTTTGAATATGATGTTTTAAATTTATGAGTGAAATTGAAATGCACAAAGACTGTTCCACTTGATTTAATTTTAAAAGGAAATTTCTTCCATGAGATTACAAAAAAAATATATACTTATTGTTTTTCTACAGGGGGAACTTGTATAAACCCAAACACTATGGAATGAAATCTGGCGGAAAATAAGGGTGAACTATGCAACAGATGACATGATCGACTACTCCATGGCTTCCAAAGAAGAATTCACAATAAGAGACATGTGTCTACACACAATGTGGTTGTGTAAAACATCACCTTGTCTCGATGTGGCCAGTGTTATTCCTGTGGCTCCTTTCAGTTGCTGTTACGGAATGAGTTGATTCTGTTTTAACATAGACTCTAATCCTGTGGATGCTCCACAGTGGCCCAGTTTCACAATTTTATCTTTTTTATGTAAATACAGTTTTATTCTTATTTTTTAACTGGCTCATCATTTTTATTTTTATTTACTTTTACTTGACCCGCCCATATTTGAATTTGGGAACTGTCTTCTCGCCACCATCCACAGCCCCTTCCTCCCACCCAGTGCCTAGATAAGTTATTCTTGGGACAATCACAGAAGTTCATCATCAGCTGTTGCACTCTTTTGCCTCTTGTGTTGTTGTGCTTCTGTTGGCTATTTATTCACTACCTCCCTACAAGTTTGTTTTATTTGAATTTGTAACACGACCACAGGTTTTGCCATGGATAGAGAACAATTATCTATTCTTTTGTGTTCCAGTGCAGTAGTTTGATGGTTGCACTTGATGCCAGTAAACAGCCATTTTTGTTAAATTTATTGCTGCACCAAATAGTTACATTAAGCCATACAACAAAAAATATACCACATACACGTATTTTTGTATCACCCCCGGTAAAAATATGATCCAGTGTTTAAAAATTGCTGCAAATTATATAGCATTATGATTTTAAAATATATCTATTTTTAAAATATATTATTTGCATTGTTTTGCCATGATGACTTGTCATCACACAGACTGTAATAATCATTTTGAGCAGTGAAGTTCACCTTCACTCCAGGTAGACGTTAGATTTCTACCTTTGCTTCTTCCCATCTTTGCCTCCATCTCTGATGCCAGGCTTCAGTGGTGGGGGTATTGGGGGAGGGGTCGGAGGTCCTGCTTCAGCTCCTCCCCGTCCATTTCGTCCCAGCCGATATGTTCCCGTTTCGGCTGCCACGTTATTCCTTGTTGGGTCCACCACTCTCTTTTTCTGTTTTACGTAAGTGCTCACTGTTATTGCCCTGTTTTGCCATTTACAGTAATCTGTTTTCTGTTTTTGATTTGTGATTGTTTCATTCAATCCGCAGGTGTCCATGGTTATCGGAACACATATCTTCTGTTGTTCCCATATATGTTGCTGTAATGTTTCTTTTCACCCTTGCAAACTTCTGCATGGCCACTTTTATGGATCCTGGCATTTTCCCCAGAGGTAATTAAATACATGTAAATTCATGTGTGAAGACTTAAATGAGTTTTATCTACACAATCAATCTGATCAAAGGGTGCTGTTGTATATATATATTTTTTATTCCTATTGTTTTCATGTGCCTTTATCTGTTATAGCGGAAGAAGATGAGGATAAAGAGGATGACTTCCGAGCACCGCTCTATAAGACTGTAGAGATAAAGGGCATTCAGGTTCGCATGAAATGGTGTTCAACTTGCCGCTTTTATCGTCCTCCAAGGTGTTCACACTGTTCAGTGTGTGACAACTGTGTTGAGGTACTGAGTCACAACCTCAAATAATGTATTTTTAAGTGATGATTTGTAAATGTAAATTATAGATGTTATAACAATACTTTTGTCTTTGTTTATGTTCTAGGATTTTGATCACCACTGTCCTTGGGTTAACAACTGCATTGGGCGACGAAACTATAGATATTTTTTTCTATTTTTGCTTTCACTTACTACACATATCATAGATGTTTTTTGCTTTGGGTTGGTTTACATTTTACATCATCGCCATGAGCTGTATACACCACATTCAGCTGTCACGTATCCTTTTATTTGAAGTATTAAATCATGCAAATGTTATTTAGTAATAACATATTTGTGGTAAGCTTTTCCTTAACATTTTTCTCCAGTATGGCTGTGATGTGTGTAGCTGGATTATTTTTTGTGCCAGTCGCAGGCTTGACTGGATTCCATATTGTTCTGGTGGCTCGTGGGAGAACTACAAATGAACAGGTAAACAACATTCTCCACTTTATTTGTTAAAAAAATGTCACTGTATACTTAATGGTTCTTTTTTTTTTTTTTTAGGTGACTGGAAAGTTTCGAGGAGGCGTTAATCCTTTTACGAATGGATGTGTGAGAAACATTACCTATGTTCTCTGCAGATCTCAAGCTCCAAGGTGTGTATTCACTATTTTTTTTTAAAAAGACCTGGAAAATAATAGAAAAAGTTTGCCATTGGCCTCCTAGGGATTTGATGTGTGACTTATTTTAATGATAATGAACTCCAATGTACAGAATATGGTATATGGTATATGTCTGGTGTCTTGAATGTTTTTGTTCACCATAGATATTTGGGTCGCTGGCATAGTCCTCAAGAACTGGAAATACAACCTCCTTTTCTTAGGCCATCTCTTACTGAAGCCCAACTAGAGGCAAAAGTCCTGGACAATGGCATACAGAATGACAGGCATAGTTCCCGGGTATGTGTTGTCAGTGGACAACCAATGCAGCCATGTACATTTACTGTTTAAGTAATTTGGTTGTGTCTGTGTGTTTTAGTCTAAAAGTAGTTTAGATCCCATAGAAAGTCAGTCAGCAGATGCCGAACCTCCACCTCCACCAAAACCTGATTTTCGGTACCCTGGCCTTCCCCGTGCTGACACAGAGGGTGAGATTACCTGGTTTATACATTTAGTTGTCTTGAATGAATTTAATTTGCCTTGCATATTTGTATATTTTGCTAACCTTTCTTTGCAGAGAGTAGTTTGTTGACAGAAGCGCCTCCCACTCCTTCAATGTTCAAGTATAGACCTGCATGCAACAGCCCAGGGAGGAATCACAATACTCAGCACAACAAGGTACGCCCCGAACTCCAGAATTACATACAAATTTCAGGATTGCATTGTTGAATAATTTTACTTGTTCCCACAAATTCAGCCAAAATAATTTTCCCCTTAAAGTTTATTTACAAATATGTGATTTATGTACAAGTTTGTTGACTTTTTCTTTTAAATTGTGGTTAACCTACTGCCTCCTCTTTTTGCTTTTATTTAAATAAATCATTCAGTGGCCATCGATTGATCAGTAAGTTACAGCCAGTGTCATCTGTGTGCTGACCCCTTTGACTGTCTGTTGGAGTTGATCTGTCCTTTCCCACCAAGACTGCATTGACTGGAATGTGAAACTTCTGTAGTTTTGGACAGTAGTTGTACTCCCATGTATGTCTCCCTGCTCAGTCTTTTGGCATGCAGTGCCAGTACATGTTAAAATCCAGTCAATGAAACAAATGCAACAATCTTATGAATGATCAATCACACATTCAGTTTCCCCACCACCACATTCTATGTTACAACCTAATCAAAGGAAAATTTAAATTAAAATCTTAAGTAAGTAATGTTGCCTTGTCTCTTCATATGTTTTATTCTGGATTCTTACTTTCAGATAATTCGTGGTGAAAGTATGGACTCTCCTTCCACAACTATCCTCCAGTCCAGTCGTCATCCAAGCTACCGCTCTGAGCCAAGCAGCCTGGATGGGGCTACAGTGGTGGGGGGAGGTGCAGGTGTGCGCAGAGGGGGAGGGGACAGAGGTGAGGGTCCTGGGAGCTCTGGCGTCCCTGCTGGTGGGGTGTCTGGCTACTCCCTGACTGGGCGCTCCTACACCTCCTACCCATCGTCTCTGGTCCTGTCCACTGGCTCTCACTCCTCCAGTATACGCTCTGCTCACACAGCGCACAACCCTCTAGCCACACTTCAGTCAGAAGGCACCACAGACACCAGCTACAAAAGCCTGGCCAATCAGACTCCTCGGAACGGCAGCCTATCCTACGACAGCCTCCTGACCCCTTCTGAGAGCCCGGAGTTTGAGTCTGCTGCTCACGAGCTGTCGCCACAGAAACCTCATGCTCCATTTCATTTGACTGGGGTCACACTCAGAGGCCAGCCTGAGATGGTGTCCCCTGGAAGCCCTCTGCAGGGCTACACGTCACCTTTCCTCTCAGCTCAAATAGCCCAGCAGAGGGAAGGCCAGCTGCTCCAGGGCTCTGCCACTTTCTCCTCCCCCCACAGGGCTTACCTGCGTGCGGTCAGCCCCACCCCTCCCTCCTCCTCTGGGCTTCCAGAAGCCCACCCACTAATGCATCGTCACCAGGACTCTCGAGCCCTCCGTACGCCTTCCACCTCTTCTTCTTCGCCAGGGGTTCGTTCATTAGATCCTCCTGTATCTCCACCGCCGCGCAGCCTCTCCCTCACCAAGTCCCAGCCCTCTAGTAGCGAGGCTGGGCATCATCAGCCCAAGCCTCGTCACACAGGGGGCACTGCAGGAGGACACCAAGCTCCACTGTGAGTAGTGACTTGTTTCTACTTCAGTCAGCCTGCTTCTCCTGTCTCTAATGTTTCTCTTCTTCCTCCTTTGTCTGAGTCAGCCCTGCTCTTCCTCCTTGATTTGTGAGTCTTTGCTTTCTACCTCAACAATGTCAGGCTGTGTTGCAGTTGTCTAACAGCATGCATTTTGTCTCTCTTGGTCAATAGCATGAACGTATTTTCCTTCATTGTTTGATATACTTAATTGTTTGATATACACTCATTGACAACAAAACATGGTTTTATTTATGTCTAAGACTGACTCCTTCCCCTCTGGTAAAACTCTTATCCCTCTTCTTTTGATGTTCTATGATCCAGCTCGCGTTCGGTCATGACCAATCACACCTCATCTAAGCCTGGAGTGAAGAAGGTCACAGGCGTTGGAGGGACCACCTATGAGATATCAGTTTAGATCTGACGGTTTAAACTGTTCATCTGCTTTGTACTGAGCTGGATATTATTCATTTGGTGAGTGCCTCAGAAGGACTGTTTTCCACTGGTGCGTCTGGTACTGACTGTAATGCAGTATTTGTGATATCACTTGTCATGATGCCAGTTGTTCCAAGAATTTGAACGAAGGACCTTTATCACAGCAAGATGTTTTGGAACCACTGACTGATGTTCACAGTGGTTTGATCCACACAGGAGTTTATGCAGTACATTAGCTGAGGATGGCCTTTAATAAGTGGATGTAAAGAAAACATCAAAAGAAAACAAATGGAAATCTTTAGAAGATGATGACTGTTGACCAATCACCACCACAATCTTTTCCAGTAACTGTCATTTTTTTCTGTGTGAGTGAATGGACCACAAAGCATTTATTTCTGTAAAGGATCAAAGAGTCCAGCTATCACATCATCATTATTTAGTTTTGTAATTGTTTTTAATAGTATTTTTTACATGTATGACATCTGCTTCTTGGGACAGAAAGTGTGTTATGACGTTTAAAGAATGACATCTTGTGTAAGATAGAAAGTGATTTATAATCAATTGCCTGTAAAATAATGATGGCTGCATCAGCCCAGTTTTGCTGGTATTCATGTTATGGTGATCTTTTGAATTTTTATTGTGGAAATAGAGACTAGTTTTTATAACCACAAAGAAATTTAAATTTTAGCACAAGCAACTTATGGAATGTATGTTTGTGATGCTGACGCTAGAGACATTATGCAAAATGAATTTGAAGCTTTAAAATCATTGTTATTTGTTGATCCCAACACTAGCTGCAGTTTTTGTAAGGCCAGCCAAAAATGGTAGTAAGGGTAATGTCTTATTTATTTTGAAAAATAATTAAATTGTTTATAATACTGGACCTAATTTTATTTTAGTTAAATTATTATTTCAAGAAGATTTGATAATATTTTAAATTTATAGAAGTTAAATCAAAGTCACTCTTTTCCATTAGTAGGAACTGGCCATTTTGCTTTACATAGTTGAAATAATCTGTACTTTTATGTTTCCTTATGCTTTTTGATGTACCATTTTCCTATTAATAGTTTGATTGCCTAATTCTTTGGTTGTTTTCATGTTCTAATAGGTACAGTTATTTTCTACACTGGTAATGCTTTAAAATGAATATAGGGTTGGTGAGGCTTAGAGCTGGGCATTATTTATTGTTTTATTTGCCCACTACAGTGTTCGCAGTAGAATGTAAAAGCTAGCTATTAGCAGCACAAGTCCAGGGAGAGGAAAACCTTGAAGCACCTACGTATCTTTTATGCCAATTAACTGTGTTTTAGGTCTTTGATCTCCCCTGGCTTCATAGGTTTCATGAGCATGTAACTTTTCTTTGTTCTGAATGCATAGTGGTAAGAATATTGTCGGATGCCCATTTGTTCTTGTATGGGTGGACCCTTCACTAAAGGCACAAGAAGCCATTGTGTGGAAATAAAACAAAACCTGTGTTATTCTTGTATGAAAAAACATTGATATTGCAATTGTACGCTGTGATGACTGTGTTCCACAAATGTGTAACAAATACATTTCCAAAATGGCCTTATGAATTTTTTTAAATGATGTCTCAAAATAAAAAGGTCACAATGATAATAACGGGTCTTTGATGTTCCACTGAAACATTTTATTCAGTTTTGGCATTTGGATAATCAAACTTGAGTAAACAACTCATCAAATATATCTTTTCAGGCAACATGTTCAAATCATTAAACATCTGCTACCTACACATTGCCCCTTATTTAGCTTCTTTGTGCAGTATTTTAAAGCATGTTAAGCAATTACATGACACAGTAGGCTATTAATGATTTATTTATTGAGGTTTTATATTGCATAAAAATATTTCCATCACCATCTTATACTATACTGACTACCTTTACCAATTTTATGATTTTATTAAGAAGTAGGCACTATTGTTACAAGGACTAATTGTTTTTCATTAGCCTCCAGAGTGTGTTCCAGCCCTGAACACTTGTGAGCCTTCATTTTATTCTTGACTACAGTGCTTTCCAATGAAGGTGGCCAACACAGACATAATATCTGTGTATATGAAGCTATTTATATCTGTCAGTGCAATATTGTAATTTATCAGTTTAAAATTTTAATTATAATTTATTACATTTTCACAGTGGAATGCAGATTTTATGTAAAATTTTAATAAACTTAAAATAAATCACAACACTGATCCGCACACTAGAACAATGAATGTGCAAATGTGTTTAAACTGCATGGAGTACATTGACAAAGCTTAGGTGGTTTTTGCCTTGTGATTTAGCTGTTCTGCTAACACACACGGTAACAACCTGACCACTGAAATGTATTACTACACAACCCTTGTTATCTCCTTGTAACATCAAATTTAAACCTTTCCTATTCTTTATTATAGATATTTGACCATAGATGTTTTGTGTATTTTGTAGAGGTTACAGCTGTAGTGTATGCTGCAGCTTTTGACATTGCATGACCATCCATACTATTTTAAGTTTAATTTAACAAGCAAAATGCTTTATTCAATAATCACAAACCCATCTAACAATTATGAAATCCATTAGTCGTAGAACTTTACTCACATCCCCAGGTTAGGAGGTCAGGAGATTCAATCACATTGAAATATGTGTACATCAAGTGAACTGATAAATCACAGATAAAATAAAATCTTGTGAGGCCTGACCTATTTGGTCTCCCACAATATCAGAATATAGAGACACAGTCACAATTTATAGCCTAGTCCTATATAGGTTATTATATGTCCAAATAAAATGCCAAATTGCTTTCTGAATGATTCCTGGCCAGTATTTTGGGCATTTGGACACATAAATTCTTTTTCTGTTAAAAAAACCAAACTGATTTATTACACAGTTAGACAAACACCCTGCAAATAAATATCATGGACTTGCCACTTTGTTCCTGGTTCTCTATTTAAATGGAAAAATAAATATGTAAATAAAATAAATAAATGCTAGAATAATTTGGATAATTCCATTTTCCAAACTCTACTGAACTAAAGGTAAAATGTAGCTATTAACTTGAAAACGTCCACTTCACGACATCACAAGGTGGGTCAGAGCATTGTGAGCTTTGGAGATGTAGTAACTCAAACATGTGTGAATGAAACAAAACACAACTGTTATGTTTTTGATGAGGTTTCATGGCTAAAAGCTCAGAGGAGTCTTGTATAATATAGGACTTTTAATAAATCAAATTTATTGTATTATTTGGTATTTTAAGTTTGACTAGTTCCTAATCTGTGTTTTAGAAGTGACAAATATAGCCTGTAACACCTTTACCAATGAAGAATCCCAGTTCCTGACAGGCAGATCAATTCCCTTTTACATCAGTGACCTTCCATCTGAAGTCCTTTCCACGCGAGTATGAACTGCTTGTGGATTCAAATACATGTTTTAAATGACACCTCCAGTGGCCCAAATGCTTAGCAGCAATTAACAGACTTAAAGACTGGATGGAGGTGCAATATTATTCTAATATTTGCTCTCATGTCACCATTGACCATTTGGCCAGATGCTGTGGCCTATTCTGGATTCCAGTCATATTGCCACTCCTGGAGTAAAATGTCATCAGTGAATGAAGAAATGTCTGACAACAAAAGTGCAGCAGGACCAAGAGTCAACATAAGAATAGATATCTTTTAATTCTGGTGAATAAATGTTCAAGCTGATTGCTGGATTTGAACCCATACAATTATGTGTAAAGCAGCAAAGCTCTTCAAGCATACATGTGTTACCACCTTGTTCAACTTCTGATATTTGTAATTTAAAGGCCCAATAACACATTCATAAATAATGCTGATAACATTTCTCAACATCCTAGATTTAACTTCACATTCTCCTTCACTTGTACTTCTTACTCTCTGAACTTTCAGTCTGGTTTCCTGTTTCAAACTCAGTACTGTCTTCTTCTGGCTCAAAACTATTTGGTACATCTTCTTTCAACCCACGACTTTTGTTAAGCTTTTTACATTTTTGGAAGATTTCATTTAGGTTAAATTCCCTGATAATGTTTTCCTGGGAAAAGGAAACATTGCATTAACACTACTGAATAAAGCAAATATAATGTATGTATTTTCTTAACTTCACCTCATTAAAAGTCCAAGATATAGCTCTTCCTTTGCTGTCAACCATTGGGCGTCTCATGATCTCCCGACCGCCTTGGAAAAGCACCAGTGTTGGAAGCTGCTTTGCCAAGGGTGATGTGCTAACCCTGTACCTGTTCAATATAAAGCAGCTGTCAATATGCTATCACCTTAGAAAATTACAATAACAACAACAACAACAACAACAAAATGCAAATAATAGAAAACGAACTTCTGAGAAACCTCTCCATAGCGTCCAATATCCACTTTGCCAAACTGAAGTCCAGCACAGTTGTATCTGCACAAATTATTAAGATTAATATAAGTAATAAGTAATATTGTAAAACAGATAAAGAAATAATTTCCTACTTGAGGGAAAGATCGGCAAAAACAGGTGCAAATGACTGGCAGTCGGATGACCAGTTTGCATAGAATTCAACAATCCATGTCACCCGACCATCCTGCTGAAGCTCCTCCTAAAACAGATCCAAACAAAGCTAGTTGCTTTTAACAGTAATACAGGGCTTTAAATATATTTCACTTACATCTATGGTCTTGTCATTGAAGTATTTAATATATTCTGGGCCCATGTATAGAGGAGGCTTACATGTCATCACAAATGCTGTGGGATTGAAATGAAGACAGTACAACAATACAATTCTTATATCTCTATTAGAATTGATTAACTATGTTTGAATCTCTTAAATTCTCAAGATTAGTAGTAGTTAGAAAGTTTGCAAGGGTTTCAGGCTTCTTCTACTTAAATAATGTTTTAATGCTATTTTAGACCTGATTTGTCCTAGTTCGGACCTTGCATAGCCCTATAATGGAAGTAAAATACTTTTTCAAATGCTTTTTTAAATCTTAGCATGAGAAAGACACTAAAATGTAATGTAATGTGACTGACCAAGACAGAGTACGACGTAAAGGATCCCAAGTCGAATGTCGAGCCTGAAGAATAAAATGACATTTGCTACTTTGCTGAAAAGGAAAATGTTTCCAATGTGCTGCTCCAGAGTAACTGACAAAAGAAAGGGAAGAATAGGCTGGTAACAAATGGTCAGGTGGAGTGTATGCAAAACAGTAGTTACTAGTTGTTTTTTTAAAACTCAGCTATTATGTGATTACTGTATTACTGTGATTGTGTCATGTAATTCAGAATTGTGTATCACATACTTTTGGTATTCAGATAGATTCACATTTTTGCTGTAATCTGGCTTTACACACTGTAATTGGAATATGTATTGTCCCTACAGTTTAAAATCTAAACCACAAAAATACATAATTTGTCAACTTCAATCTTGTTGCATCTTTGCTATATATATATATAAAAAAAACTGTAATTGACCCTTATCTGTTAAACTGAAATGGTTAAACCCATAGAACCCATAGAACTGTTAACCCCCCCTTACCCCTGTGTAGAGCTACCTTTCTTCATTGTTTTAAGCCAAAACAAACACAGAACTAAGGTTTACACTAATGAATGAGTACTGGGATTTACTTACTGGCTCTCCTGTTTTTCATCATCACAATGGCACAGAGGAACATTAGAATCTCCCATTCTCTCTACAGCCAGATACAATTGAAAAATATAAAGTTATATTAACTGCTATGGAAATTTTATGAAACAAAGGGAACACCATATATGGCAATAACTCCACATGTAGGGAACCCTATCCCACCATGCTCACCCAGTCCAAGTCGCAGGAGTTGCTGTCTTCTCGTTGTGAAGCCAGGTGTTCGCAAAGTCCTGGCGCTTTTCGCACGGCAATAAATGCAACGGTCATAAGAAACGAAATGATATAATACGGCTTGAGGAGCCATTTGTAAATTTGTGGAAAATGGTAGAGAAAAGCAAAAAATCCCGTGATGAGGCCCATACTTGCAGAAACCACAAGTCGAAGCGAGAGTGAGAAGTGACAGCTGAAGGAACAAGTGGCGTGTGGTTGGTGCGTGAGTAAACTGCGCATGCGCCATTTGTACAGACGTCTTTTTTTTTGGCCAATCCTCCACCCGTACTTCTGGCGGGCAAAGCAAAACATAAACAACAGAAACGTGTGGTGAAAATGGAGCAAAAAGACGACAATTTCAGCGAAGAAACCGAGGATGAAACTAAGAATCAGAAAATAAGTAAAGCTCAAAAAACGTCAAGTAAAAAGTCTAAATCTCAAACCGGGAGTAGTACGACGACGGACCACGAAGTAGAAGCTCGATTTAGCCGAATAAAACTCTTCGAGAAAGTGATGCAAAAAAGCTTGGAGAATTTTGTTGAACTTGCCAGGTAAAATGTGACATGGATGCATTTTATGAGTTGAAATTATCTTCAGTTTGTCTTATTTATAAACCAGTATTCAGTTGTAGTTGAATGTAAAAGATCAATTGTAATTTGAAGGTGCACTACTGTTGTGTAACTTTTCTGATGGAGGGCTTATGGCAGTAAACTATTGCAGATCAGATATGTGGTGAGGTGATGAGGCGGGGTGACCAGACGTCCATATTTACCCGGGACTATCCCAGTTTTGAGCCCTGTGACTCACATTTATCTAAAACTAGTGATTTGTCCTAGTTTCATTCAAGAAATGTCCCAGGTGTCCATTTTTGACCAATCTGATCCCTGCCAACAGTAGAGAGGTATACATTGTATTTGTTTCAGTAAAATACAGAAAAACTGCTTAAAAATGACCATAACACAAAGAAAATATGACTGTACTGACTCACATTAAGCGGAGTGAAGAACAATTTTCCTTAATTACGCACTCATTTCACAATTTTATTATCCCCAAACATCCCAAACAAGGGATGTCCAAGGTTTTTATTTTGAAAATCTGGTCACCCTATGATGGGGTGAACCTTAGCAATGAAAACACCTGTGATTGAATAAATGTTTAGTGCCATATTGTGTAACATTAGAGGTAAAGCATTAACTCCATGAAATCTCCATGAAAACACATTCATTTAGCTTATAACCACATAGCATTTCATGTTAAACAACACTACTTGGAGGTTTCATTGTGTAAAGATTAAAGCTATAACTGTCTCTTTGTTTTCTCATCCAGTTTTAACAGATTCACTAGTACCTTTCGGCCACTTTACAAGAAAAACCCACAGCGTATGGAAAACATATATAAACAGTTTATCGAAGAACTGAAGGGAGCCATTCAGGTATGTCAACAAAACGATATATGCAGCGTTATAACATACACAGCTACACTACATTTTTGTTTTGTTAAATATGGTTTGTATTGTGTTTTAAAGGATGACATTATCAGATTAATTGAAGAAGGAGGCTTAGAGACTAAACTCAATGAACTGGATAAACTGGAGAATGCTGCCAAGAGTAAAACAGATCCTGCATGGTACATTGTCTGACATTATGTAGTTTTCCTATATGAACATGCAATTTTTTATTGTATTTTTTTTTATTAAATGCATCATCTTTGTTCCTTAGGCGTCCCTCTGGTGTACCTGAACAGGACCTTTGCAGTTTTCTGATGCCGTACTATCAAAAACAGGAAGCCTACATGAAACTAGAGCTTAAAAAAATCCAAGCTGAAAATGTTGCCCTAGCAGAAAAAGTCCTGGCAGGGAGAGAGCTTCTTTGTCAGACTGACCACCATATTTCAGCAGCTGTGGAAGACTTGAAGGTAAGTCTGTATAGTGAGAGAGAGGTTGTTGGTTAGAGAACATCTACATTAGAGGTGTTTTGTTTGTTTTGTTTTTTCTCTTGATGCATCAATTGTTTCAACATAAGCTTATTTCTGGTATTTAGTATTACATCAAAATATGATAATAGATTATGACATCATGATAACAGATACTACATTATGTGAATTGTTAATCATCAAGTATTGCTCGACTAGGGAGGTCCTAGAAAACAAGAAGACTCAACTCAACTCAAGCCTCAAATGCAGGATAATACAGGAACGTAACAGGAAGCAGGAATGAATCAATAACACTCTCTTAATTAAGAAAAGCCAATTATCAAAACATATTACTCTGAAGTATGCCAGATCATAGTCCCATTAGACTCACACTCCAAATACATAGGTGTATTGGGTCTAGATTCTAATGGCCGTTATTGTAATTATCTTATTTTATGTGCATGGATGGCTTACCATGTCCTTGATTCATGATAATTTTTTTATTATTTATTTATTAAAAGTAAAATTGTACTGCCATACTATTATTGTAACATAATGTTCCTTCTCCCCAGGTATCTGTGACAGATTTTGAAAAACTGGCATCTGCCCTCAGTCCTAATGTTGATGTGTAAAGTTCATTCTGTGAATTGTAATGCAATGTAAATCTGTGTTTGTTGATTTTACTTTTGCTTTCATGCAAATAAATATTTCTCCTGCTCCAACATTATTATAGACTGGATTCAATATTATTGCCAACATTACGGTAGCGTCGTGCGTCTTTACAAGCAGCAATACGGTGAAGAAAACAGTGCCACAAAGAGTCGAGAGCGGAAGCTGCGGTGTGTTTTTCTGTAGATCAGATGCTGTCTGTGAGTGTTCTTTTCATAGTAAACGGATTCTTTAGATATGACAGAAATGTTTTCAACTCTATTCGGCCAAAGTGAAGCTCAGGGATCTCAAGGCTCCGCAGCTTTGGGATTTGGACCGGGGAAGCCTCCGCCGCCTCTGCCGCAAAGCCAAGTGTCTATGCCGGGTCAAATGCCACCACAGATCGGGGATGAGGGGCCTCTTCTACGAAAGCCCGGAGCCTCGAATGAGCCCTTTTATTTACTGCGGGATCTACCAGGTAACGTTTGGTTCTTAACAACTGAATAACAAATTTTGCATTTTGGCAATACATTGCTGGTGTTTGATTGGTGAAACTCAATCACATCTTGCCGAGCAGTTTGTAAACAATTGCTAGCTTGCTAGCATAGCAGAGGTTGGCATTAGGAAGTCATCAGATACAGTAGTACAGTACTTCAACGGGTCCATGCGGAAATATGTAAACATTTATTCCAATACTATAAGGCACCTGTTTGTTTCACTTGTATTTTTCAGTTTTTTTATTCATCATATCAAACTCTTATGTTATGTATCTGGATGGTCATCACTTGGGTATGCATATTTAAATGGTTTTGTCAATTTAAAAACACTGAGGCATGTCTGTTTTTATTTAGTTGGAAACGAATTGACTGGAAACTCTAATCTCATAACGCACTACAACCTGGAGCACGCGTACAACAAATTCTGTGGGAAAAAGGTGAAAGAGAAACTGAGCAACTTTCTACCAGAATTACCAGGTAATCTGCCAATCATATGTATTGCTTTTTAGCTGAAGGGCAACGAAATATTATAGTTAAAGGGACTTTATGTGACATGGCATCCTCTCAAAGAATTCCTTTGGTTAATTGCAGACTAGGTTTCAATCTCAATCTTTTACCCACGAGTCAGAAAATGATAATTGATTTTTTTTTCTTAAATAAAAATTTGTAGATTTACAAACACAAACATTCACTTTAAATGTATACGTTACAGTCTGCAATGTCACCACCAGAGGCTGCAATTATTCTTTTAAACATGACATGAGGCTATTACTGTAACATGTGTTTATTCTATGTTAATAATTGTATGCTTCATGGAATGAGCCTTTGTTTTTAATGTATTCTAACTATTAGTTATTAATTGCATTTGTTGTCTTATAGGTATGATTGACTGTCCGGGTACACAAGATGGCAGCTCTTTGAGGTCTTTGATAGATAAACCTCCAGTGTGTGGAAACTCTTTCAGCCCATTGACTGGTGCTCTTCTCACGGGCTTCAGACTCCACACAGGACCGGTACTAATAAGAAAATCAAAAGTTTGTCAAATGATGTGCAGAGCATGTATTTTCATGTTGACACTGTTCTGTTTTCGCAGCTTCCAGAACAATACCGCCTAATGCATATACAGCCACCAAAGAAGAAGAGCAAACACAAGCACAAACACCATAGAGTACAGGACCCACTACCACAAGGCATGATGTTATACAAGTGTCAAAATTAGGCAGTATATGTACATGGAATATGTGTCCTTAAACAGGTCTTACTTTTGGGCTTTATAGAAACTCCATCTGACTCTGATCCCAAAAAGAAGAAAAAGAAAAGGGATGATGATCCTGACCGCAAGAAAAAGAAGAAAGATAAGAAAAAGAAGAAGGTATGTTTTGTAATCGGATCCATTGATTTTAGATTACAATCATATGTTTTTAATGGTGCATATATTTTATATAAATCAATCAAAATTAGTTTTAAAATTAGATAAAAAATTAAGTAAAGCAGTAATAATCAATGAATTTAAAACAGGTAAAAATTGTAATTAAAAAGATAAGTTTTGAGTTTACTTTAAAAAATATGAACACTTGCAGTGGTGTCATATGATTAAGGCAGATTACATAAATAAATACGACTAAAACTAGCTTTATAAACCAATATAAGTGCTTTAAAATCTGTCCTGAAGCTCACAGGAAGCCAGTGCAAAGACTTTATTATTGGTGTGATATACTCTCTCTTCCTCATCAGCAGCCATGCTGTAGAGTTTTGTAGTAGCTGCAGTGGAGCTGTAGTATTCTTTTGGAAGACCAGAAAAGAGAGCATTACAGTAAGCAACGCTTTTGTAATAAAAGCATTTGTTAATGTCTCTGCTCTGGCAATATTTTTTAGATGATAAGAAACCGCTTTAGTGACAGACCCAATGTGTGGCTCAAAGCTAAGCTCACTGTCAAGAATGACACCTAAATATATGCCAAGACCAAACCAATGACACTGGGCACTAAATTCTGATTCTTCTTCATATGGGACCATAGAGGTGACAAAAAGCAGGGATTTTTAGAGCACAAAATAAGGACCTATGTGTTTTCTCTTTAGTGTTTATTTTCGTGGACATTCTGCAGAAACTTTTTAATTTTTTATTCATATTTGTTTTCAGAATCGTCACAGCCCTGACCACCCCGGCCTCACAGGCTCACAGCCAAACAGCAGCAGTCTCAGATAAAACAACTACTGTGTACATATGTATAGTGTGACTCTGCATTTTTATAAGAGAAAGTGTATGTGTTTTACAAATAAATGTATTATAAATACAAAGGATGCATTGTAACAAAGCAAAGTCTGCATGGATGAAGTGTGAGTATGAATGGAGAGGATCCCAAGTATCTGCTATGATGCAAGTGTGCAAGTCCCTTGTATATGTCCCCTAGAATTTTGTTAGAATTTTGACTGAAATAGAAAAATAAACTTAATTATTGTTATTTCCTATTCTTTAAATGCTGGGTATATCAGCAAGATTCACACAGCGTTTTCAGGCAGATGCTTATTTTAATGTGGAAAATGCATTGGGCATTGAATTAAAGTTTTATAGAAATGTTCTACTGAACCCTACAAAGCTTCCTTTAGCGTGTAATGCTGTATTTGACAACAATTGTACAAGTAGAAATTAACTATTTAGACACAGTAGTGACAAAGTACTAAGGTACAGTGACAACCGAAACATCTCGACTTGAAATATTAAAATACAGACACACAAAACCAAACATGTTTCATTGCTAAATTGATTTACAAAAAATAAATACCATAAAGGTACTAAAAGCAAGCGTACAAAAGCGACAACTAATATTTACAAAGAGCACAAGCTGAACTTGGTGCCAATTGTTCTTCATCAAAATGTTAAAACTACAAAGTCACATTTGTGTTGCCAAAACAAATGCTTCCCTTTTAATTCTAAAAAAAAAAAACTTGAAAAGACTTGCCCCCATTTTTTTGTGTATAACTAAGTATAAAAGTGTTGAATATTAACTGCTGCACTTGAAATAAGTCAAATTTATACATTTTCTACAGTCTTACCTGTTAAAATGACAAACAATATAACAATGTAAATGGGAAGATGATTAGAATAATATTTACAAATATGAAACATTGGGTGGACAAATGAAACAACACTGATATTTAGGAGGTAGATGATGTCTGGTGTCTACACAACCAGTCAATGCATGCCCCCCAGAGCTTTTAGCATGTTTATGACATAAAAATCTATATTTGTATTGATGGTCTAGGTTTGCAAAGTCTGGCTTGTGGTACATTACCAACAAAAACACTCAAAACTAAGTAACTAACTTGCACAAAGTACATTACTGAATACATTTAGATTAATATATTCATAGTTCTTTGGTTTCATGTTATGTTGGGGGGTATTTTCAAGTAACATGACATCCATAGTTTGCCATAAAGGTCAGGCTAGGATGAGTGAAATATATGGCTTTAAATCACTCTAATTTGGCTCCTGAAACAAAATAAAATAAATAAACATGCTCACTAGTCACAACAGTGGAAGTGAACAACACACTGTAGCAGATACAAAAGCATTAGTTATGCTTTAAAACTATGAAATAAAATTGATGCACCCCTGTAAAAATACATTTAGGCGCACGTGATGAATCCTATGTTTTCTTCACCCACCAACTGTTGGAAGCTTTATGCGTCTACTGCTGCAAAGCCGTTGGTGTGGGGCTTGTGGCCGTTGGCCACCGTTTCGTTCAGTGCCTGCATCTCTTGGTCCAACTGCTTCTCTCTGGCTTCTTTTTCCTTCAACAGATGTCGTCTATGGTAAAACAGGTAAGCGGGTAACAGGAACCCAGCCAGGGAGAAGATTAACAGGCCAAGGTTTATCTAAAAAAGTAGAAACAATAATTACAAACTCCTTTTCCTCTTTCCTTGGTCCATCACATTTATGAGAGAACACTAAAGTAGTGGCTCTTTTCCATTGCTGGTTTCTGCAGTATACTTTACATACCCAGTATGGATTTCCAGCCAGTGGCCCGAGCATTGCAATAAAGAGTGGCTGTTGCAGCAGAGCAACCACTGCGCTAATCATGGACTGGAGACCAGTCAGGGTCCCAAAATGGTTGGACGGGTATCTATGGGAGACAAAAGAGAAAAGTCACCATACACACACACTACATACAAATTCTAATCAGAAATGCACACAAGTATGCATTTATACCATTTAATTCTGTATTTCTGGTTATAAGGTTATAAATAATAAAGGTAACAACTACTGAACTACTTATAATTTAATTTAAAATAATTTATTTTGCATTACACCTTATATATTTTATGTATTTATCTATTTTACTTACACAGCAGCATAGAGACCTCCACAGCACGAGTGAATAAATCCTCGAACCATAGTATGAAGAATGAATGTCAGGATCTATAAAAGAAGAATAAACATTTTTTTATTTTTTAAAGAAGAATAAGATTTTTTGTAGTAGTAGTAGTAGTGTTTTGTTGTATTACTTGGAGAGGGAGATTGTCAATGAGACAACAGAATCCAAAAGCAATCAGAAGCAGGTTGGTAATGATGAAAGCTCTCATGGCATTGGTAATTTTCTGGATTTTACGATCTCTCTTAGGCCCGCAGCTTTTACTGAAAGTATAACACGATGTAGTAAATCACAGTACTGTTCAGGCAATCTCTCACTGAATTTAAGTACCTCTTTTCAGGAGTCTCTTTCTCATCGACACACTCTTTCATCTTCCAGTCCATAATGTAACCAATTAATGGACAAGTAGCAAGACAAAGCAGCTGCAGAGTACCAAAGATGGAGGAGTAGAAACTCACTAAAAGAAATGGATCACTTCAGCTTGTATAAGAGCTTATATACAATTATTAAAATTATTACAAAATTATATACAATATTGTCAAAAAGGACAACAGTTTCAACTGTGATGCTCACCTTTTTGCGCTGCCTCGGTTATGAGATCAGATGCTATAAAAATAAAAGCATTAACATACAAATATATCTACTTGTTTAGTTGCTAATTCATTACACATTATATTTTGGACACTTACATTGATCTCCATGGGTTACCATAAACTCGAGCATCTTATTCATTGCACCCATGAAGAAGATAATGCGTAGCTGAGACATCCCCATTGTGACAAGACTCCAGAGGAAAATGGGTGAGAAGACAGAACGGCGGAAGGGCACATTTTCTGAAAGAAGATTTTAGGTTTTAAGTACACCAGTATAGCATTTCTTTGATGTGTTTTGGTTTGTAAACGCACTGGCTGCAGGTTCAGGACTTGTGGCCAATTTCCCTGCAGAATGATGGTGCACATCTCCGTTCTTCTCTTGTAGTTTCTGTTCATCTGCCTTTGTGTCTGATCGTGGAAGCTCTTTTTTTGTAAGAATCTTGCTGTTAATCAGGCGTTTGATACAGTTTGTTATTTTGTAAGAAAAATAAATACATAAATAAAACTAGTTTAGAAGGAGAGAGTATATCACCTGTAGTCCACTTCATCAGGTGTTGGAAATCCTTCTATGGGCCAATTCAAGAAACAATTGAAAAAGACAAAACCAGCAAGTCCTGCCCACACCCACATAATCACATGGAAGGTCACTTGTGCATCATATATCAACTGAAAAACAGCACAAATGCATTGGCAAAATTGTATTATTGTTCTAATAATTTTCATATTATCTAATGCCCAGTGCCACCAATAGTCTTTATCATTTTTGCACAGTACCTTTACTCCAGGGAAGGTTACAGCAGAGGAGGCATAAGAGCCAATCATCAAAGACATAACTGTGGAGCTAAGAGCCCCAAACATGTTAGGAAGCTGCAAAAGAAGACAAAGTTTATAATGGCAACAATGAACCACAGTGTATAAATGATAGTGTTATGCTTTGGCCCGACAGAGGGCAGCCTGCTGCTGCCACAATAGGTCAACCTATAAAACCTGAGCAGTTCCTTCCCACTGAGCATGCACTCATTAACTTGTATTTGCCACAACACAGCAGCCTCATTAAACAAATATTAGTTTCCATGTCATGAGGACACAAGGAACAAAGTCGTGACCCAATTTGCAGCATGACCTCACAGTTCAAACTTGACAAAGCCTTACTTAAACACAACACATGGTCCTTATTTCTGCCATTTCAACAATTTCTCAAGATTAGAAATGACTACTCTAGTATACATTACTCAAAGCATGGGCACCGCACCAGGCACTAACACATTGTATATTAGGTTAGCCTATTTACAGTAAGAAGCTTAGCATTATCACAATGACCAATTGTGTGGTCAGTGCACTTAGTGTTTTTAATAACAATCTTAAATGGGTCAATATAAAATCACATGTGTGGGATTGTGGTGGTGGGTATGTATGTTTTGCAAACTCTTGCACCAACTAATCTTTTTAGGTTTCCAAAACTACCTTATAATTTCTTTATCTTTACTGCAGATACACTGGTTTAAGTCATATGAAAAAAAATAAAGGTGCACTAGGGAACGTTTTTCATGGGATATCCACACCTGTCACCTGCTTGACTCCATGGAGATTATTACACAGAATAATCCACATGGCAATGGCACTAAACTTAACCTCTAGTTTTCAATATCCCAAAAATCCCTTGAAAAACATCCATCCTGTGGGATCTCCTCTCCACAGATCTGACCTCTAAGTTTGCCTGTTACTGTCACCTGTTTGTCCCCATGAAGACAGATAAGTTTACTGCCACACTACACTGTGGAAAAATCTAATCAAAGCAATTACATCTAATATGTGTAACTGTATATTTTATTTTATTTTATTTTCTTGCAATTCAATTGCAAAAAAATTGAATATCATGAGTCTTTCTGAAATGAGAGAAAAAATAGTGAAGTATCTTGCATCTTTAAAGGAGCCAGTAAAATTTACCTTTGGCCACACTGGCCAAGTAGATAAGACAGTGATGACAGTTTGTGGCTGACAGAATCCAAAGAGGCACTCAAGGTCATTTTGTGCTGAAACTGAATTTCTGAGGGTTAAACAAGAAAACAAGTCTTTCCTGAGGATGTTTTGGGAAATTCAATGTGTGGATTAAGGATGGAAAAGCCTCCAGGAAAATGCTCTTAGACTGTTTCTTAGAATCAAAAGTTGTCATCACCAGACTCAAGAGCCTGCTCTAAGCATGTTTTGCCCTTCTCTCTCTAAAGCTAAAGATGGCAGAGTGAAATGTCACCTGAAGTTTACATTCAGATGGCAAACAGTCACAGTGAGTCTGTGTATGGGAGGAGTGTGCATGTGCCACTGCGTGTCTACAACAGATGGTGTCATTCCCATGATTGTGTTTCTAAGGGAGCTCATAAAAGACATATTTCACACATAGATATTCAACACATGTTATGGATGCAAATATTAACATAGAGACGAGAACTATAACATGTGACGCTAGGGCAAGTGAGAGTCAGAAAGTTTTCTTTTGGTCATTTTAAATTTGTACAGGCTTTATACCTGCTGTGCTCACTTACTTGGGTGATGTAAGCCTAATTAAAGCACTAGTCATTAAGTTAAATGGATTAAATTGTATCATAAATTCTAAAAACTCAGCTCAACTCAGCTGATAGTCATATGATTTTTAAAAATAATTATTAGTAATGTTATGCCTTACTTTGCTTTGTTACTTTAAATTCAAGATGTATTCAGTCTATCGAACTCACTTAAGAAACACTAAACCGGTCTCACACTGCACCTCAGCTCTGATTCCCTTTTACATTATACATGGAAATGTAGCTTCTGGGCATTTAAGGTTTGTTTATTTTTATCACTGTTCTTCTGTAAAAAAAAAAAAAAAAAAAAAAACTCCAGCACTGTCTCACTCTTATTTACTTTTATCACCATGATCTTCTGGTCCCTCTGACCTTCCTTAGTTATGGTATCCGTATAAGTTTGAAAAACCAACTAATAAGTTTGAGTACAACCTTTTAGCCTCCTTAAGATGTTGCTGAATAATTATTACAGTTTTTATTTTCTTTTTGATCTTTGGATTCTAAACTGACTTCCTCTTTTGTGTGCTTGAGCATAAGAACACTATAACATAATGTGCATTGTTTACATTAAGGGTATGTTTCAAGAAATATGTAAATACTGGATTAACTTTCAGCATGAAGGTAACTAAAAAGTTCTACTGAACACATTTCTGTCTAGCACACAAGACTGATTTTTTGCTTGGAGGACCTAAATGAATAATTTTGTGTGAAGTTAGTGTTCTTCAAAAACTTCTGGAACAACAAAACAGGAAAACAACTGTGACAGCAAAGCAAGAGAAGGTGACCATCAATATTTTAGATAGAGGAGAGTGGGCAGGACTTTCTTGAGGGTGTGTGACCAAGCCTGAATTTTCATTGGCGGAAACACAAATAGAAACACATTTTCCATTTGGGTGGTCATGTGCATATGTAAACATGTTTGTGCCAACCAAAAGTACAATTGAAATACTTGGCAGGACACAGAAGGACCCTATAGTTGATAATGCTGTGACCAGCTGCCACACAGCAGCACATGCCTAACAAGTAAACAGACTGCAGCTGAGAACCTCAATATTTCAAATAATAAACTCTAGCCATTGTTCCAGAAACAGTTTCTTAGAATGCATAGAAAGTTATGTAATCTTATAACACAGACAGAAAAAGATTTTACTTTATGTCACAATCTGCCAGTAATGTGTGATAAATCTGGACTCTACTCAAGCAAATGAAAAAACAGACAAGATACAATTGTTGTTATTTTAAAAAATACAATTTGAATTTCTCACCGTCAGAGAAGTGAAGGTCAAACAGATGCCCCCAAAGCCATTTAGAGAGAGAGCCAAAAAAATAAGTGCTGACAACTCTGCAAACAAATATAAAAGGCTATTTTTACCCCTTTTTCATGATCACAGAGCAATTTTAATGAAGGACATTCAACTGTGCATTGAGCTCAAGTGATACTTACTAACAGGGTCATAGGTGGACGCAGCCATCATAACACAAGACAGTCCAAAACAAGAGCTGAAAACCAAAACAAAAAATCTCTTACTTATACAATGTGTATCGACCTTTGGCGACTTGTTCATTAATAGTTTCTCGGACTGCATGTTATCCTTGCACGCCTTATGACATGTTTATACTTGTATAGTAAAATTTCTGAACTAACATTTTTGGAATGTAACCTCAACACATACTATCACAGCCTACTAAAGCTTACTACTGTAAGAGCTTAGCTTCACCTCACCTTCACCTTCACAATAACTTACACTGACTCATTACACACCCCTTTTAGGAATGTACTTGTACCAGTAACCTGAACATGGTTTATTTTACTTTTTAATAACTGCAACTCAACAATGCAAAGCATTTTAATAGTGATATGATAGGTACGTGAAGAAAATCACAACTTCACAAGAATTTACCTGCCCACAAGACGAATAGGGCGTGGGCCAAACCTATCCATGAGAATGCCAAGAGGCAGGGTAGTGGCACTGAGCAGGAAAGAGCCTATTGTGAAGCCCAGGTTTAGCATCTCCTCCTGGTCTACACATGTGCGCCATACTCCAGCAGAGTCATTACCCAAATGCACAGTCTGATTGTCTGTACAGAAACAAGAATGCTATGTGATACTCTGGAGGATGTCCATAACATACAACACCAATACTAAGGGACAATACCTAGGCAGAGGTGAGAGTAGAAACCTTCCTTTTTTAACATGATGAGCAGGGAGCCCCAGCCCAGAAGCACAGCTGAGCACAGCAGGTTCTCCAGCACCGCTGTCACTGCCATCCACCAGCGCCTCTTGTAGGCCTGGACCAGAGAAGGAGCCATAGCAGCTCTGTTGGAACAAATGAGGAACATTAAAAAGGAAGCAGTAAACATAACATTTCACTCATTCTATAAAACATTTTTCACAATTGTGCATCAAATCAAAGTGTGATGTAAAACTCCTGTGACCCAACAATGCCATTATTTGGATGTTATAACTAATTGGAAAGCAAACATACAGTGCATAGGGCACTACAGCTCGGTGAGAGTGACACTGACACTCACCTCAAAGGTCACATTTGGCTGTCCCATTTGGCTGTGAGGCCAAAAGTTAGTCTGAGGGAAAGGGGTCACTTGGAGTTTATAATCTGTCTCTGTCCCAACAGGAAAATCTTCTAGTTAGTCTTAATAAGAATGTCCCCATTGGTAGGGCAGCAATGACCTAATAGGTCTGATGTACCTTTGCGTGTGCCCATGGCTCTGTAGGTGCTCATGAGCCGTGTGGCTTAATAGAATTATACATACTCCAGTGAGCAGCTTTTGAGCTGAAACTGGGGTTGAAAAGAGGGATTTGTCTGTCATTGAGACCTCATTGTGAAAATCCACTTAGGACTCTCCCCAACAGAATGCACCCAACCAAGAAGAGCCCTCATTTCCTCACCCTCCCAATAAAAAAACAATAATGTTAATTACATTGTTCACAAAGGGATAAAGAATATTTGCGGGTGGGACACGCAAAAATTTAAATTTAAACTCTTACTTAAAAAAAAAAATGTCTCTGTCATGGTTTGTTATGGCTTTTGCCAATATAAGAACAGGACAAATAAAATATAGGCTAATATTTTCCAATCCAACAGTTACCTTGATGTTAATGTGTTGGTTGATATGTATTTGCATGGATGGAATATATATAAATATCATAATATCCAATGATCCTTATCAGAGTATAAATATATGCTCATAAGTGTTGATCAGCAGATATCATAAAATTATTGTAGGTCATTCTGGAGCATATGTTGCGTGTAAAGGTCACATAGATAGGGTTGCTGTGTTACTGTGACCACCATCAACACGCATGTGTAGTATTTGTTATCATCCACACAAACGTATCATATTCAAGAGCATATAAGGTCACAATCAAAACAAGCCTCTAGTGTAAACTATGGCGCACCACGGATCTATTATAATGGGCACATACACTGAATGACCAGCTATAAAATCCTAGAATCCTTTTACGTTAAAGACAATACCCAAGCTGCTGCTATCTCCTGCTTATCTCCCACATCCCTCGTGGCGATTCCCTTCCTACTTTACCAATTAATTGCCCAGTGCACAAAACTAGTGCCAGCACTCACAACAGACAAGAACATGATGCAAAACACTAGTGTTGGGACAGGAAAGTCAACAAAACAAAAACACCTTTGAACATAAAGGCCTATTCCTTTTTATGGCTGGCAGGTCATTGTGACTTGTGAGCCCGTGTCATAAAACCCAGGTGGGATGAGCAGGTGATGTCTGGACTGGAGAAATCTGGCCTATAAGGGCAATGGTTTCTGAAATACCTGAACACAGCAGCTGGTAAATGATGCAATGTTGCCAATGACAGGTGTGACCTGAGTTGAAGATAGGTTATTATATTTTTATTGTACTGTACAGCTGTAGGTAGCTTTTTGAAGAAACTGTACACTTGAGTACTTTTCTAGTAGCAGTACTCCTACTTAAGTAATATTTTTAGTGAAATAACAGTACTCTTACTTGAGTAAAATACTTGGTTCTTCTTGATGTCCTGTTGACAGTATTAAATGATTTGAACATTTGCACCACTCCTTCAGATATGATTTAATTTGTGTGTTTATCCTTTGAAAATACCACATTTTGTGCATTATTTAATGTTTAGTTCTTCCTAACTTTAAATAAAACATAATTCAAACTAAGTTACTCTTACTTGAGTAGTACTTTTCCCAAATACTTTTTTCCTCTTAAGTGAGTAGGCAAATTTCTTTGACCACTATTTTGTACTTCTGTTTTAGTAATAATATTATGAAGTAAGGTTACACTACAATTTTGGCTACTCAATCCACCTATAATAAAGTAAAAATGGGTGTTGTTTATATTGAAAAGCAAACTAGCTGAGTGACTTCTCTGTCTCTCACGCACTTTAAAGCTGATTTTCTGCCCATGAGACCTGTATTTATCAACCTCACCAGGCCATAAAGAGTCCCAGGGTAAACTCTTTATTCTCACAACTTTGTATAAAAATAAACGACACGCAGTTGGGGCCTCTGTTCTCTAAAGAGTCCTACAACGCAGCCCCATGATAACGATGCTGTGCTCAGTCTACAAGCAGCTGTCTCTCCCCGGGTATGACCTCAGTCTTGGGTCCTATTTCCAGCGTCGGGGGGCGGCCTCAGACAGCCACAACCCCCGTGCGTCCTGGAGCAAGTTTGGAGCCGCGTTCACGTGCATTACCACATTGTATCTACATTTCTAGACACCTTCCTATTTGAGAAACCAATAGATTGGACATACTGTAACAGATGTTGGCACAGAAAACCATCCGAATAGATTACATTTAAACACGGACACACATAAAACTAACAGATTAACAAAATTTAATTAACTAAATGCTTGCTTATGAGATGTATTTTCCATGTTTTTGGATTACTGTTATTTTTCAACAAACAAATATAAATGTTTATGGAAGAAGGACAATGTTTTAAATTCACGCTACCCTCTCCCTGTGTTACGTGCTCCCACGAACAGTGAACGCCCCAAACGTAAAACGTGACTACGCTCCTCTTAATCGATTAGCTAAAACAGTGAACATTTTGTATAAACTTTTCAATTAACAGCTTTATTGTGCTTACAATTGTGAAAAAATCTAACTTATGTAGTCAATTTATAAGTGAACAATAACGGTATCGGTTCAGTGTTATTTTAAGATTAGCATCGTGTAACTGTTGTAAACTAATTTCCGAAAACTGCCCGCTCTTTTGAGATTATCGTTATTATCACTCTCAGATTGATGTTTACTCTAGATGTTCACGGAAAGGTAACAGTATCTAGTTTAATCTAACTAAACACTTGAAATTAATAAAATAATTCAACATTACATATATTTTCCACAGACAAATGTACGTTTGTCTATGTCCTCATGCCACGTGTGTGTTACCGTAAGCCGGTCCTTCCATCCACCGCCTCCCCCGCAAAAAGCATGTCATTCAGGTAATACTACGCTTATTAACACAATCATACGACACATTAAACACAGAATAAAGTTGACTTACTTGTGCTGTAGTTTTATGACTTCTCAAACAAAGACTGGGTGTGAAGCAGCTGATGTTGGACAGGCCTATTTTTGTTGTTCAGTTTGTATTAAAACATTAAAATGTGTTGTTTCTAGTTCACAAATTGTTGATTGTTTTTTTTTTTTTTTGTTGTTGTTTTTTTTTTAAATTAAAGATAAAGTGGATAAAACTCAGGTATTTTCTTCCTGCTACTAGTTGTTTCCTGAAGTTGGGGCTGTTACTCTTGCTAGTTTTCCCTCTCAGCTTTCGTTACTAACTCCCCCTTCTTTTCCTAATTTGACTTCTAATGCCCTCCCTCTTGACTGTTTGAGGGGAGGAGAGTGGCAAGTCACTCACTGCCATGCTGCCATTCACTACTACACTCACTCACTAGTATAGCCTGTCTTGTGAGGATAACTTGAGGTTATATGGTTGAGTCTTGAGTAGTATTTGCTGATTGTCACATGGAATATATGTAAAATTATGTAAGAATGAATGAATAACTTGGTCTAAATCTAGATTCTGTTTGTTTACACTGTTAAGAGGACATGCATGGATTTCAAGGATATGCAAGATTAAAAGCACATGATGTTGTGAGAAAGCCAAAGCAAATGACTCCAGTAATGCATTCAACGTGATGTTTACATGCAACAACATACAACACTGGCACAACTTTTTTTTTTTTTTTTGTATTATTACAGGGGCCTAGTTCAATTGTCCTATCAAGATTTGAATGCCAGCATCTATCAACATCCCCTGAATATCATAGGGTTCTCTCAGTTTTCCAAAAGATAATCTTTGAAAGCAGGGTGTGGTTTATTTGTATTTGTGGTTTTGTCGTCTATGGTCATATTTTAAAAGCCTTAACAGTAAAAAGCTAGCTGGAACAGTTGCATGAGAAACTATATATGGCTGTGTTTTTCTGTCAACATAAATAGCTCTGTTACTCACCTACTATCCAGGTCCTGTGATCACATTTCCACAACAAATAACACACATGGCACTGTCTTGTAACTCATTATTTTCAGTTATAGTAAAATGTAAGGCATAACGGCCATAAATTTAGAATTTGATTTTTTAAATATACAGTAGGCCTCTATATAAGCAATGCAAGACTTAAATGGTTATTAGATTGTTCCAAAGACCTTTGACTCCAATTTTCAGAGGTTGTGTAGGTTTGATAGCTCAGCTCAAATTGATCCAGATCCGATTAATCTTACTTAGGCATAACCCCCTGTGTTTGCTCCACAAAGGTAAATCCGCACCCCACCAGGCGCTACAGGGAGAAGGACTTGAGTTTTCCATCTCAATTTGCAAGGTCATCCTTGACCCAAAATGCATCATAGCCACTAGAGATTGACCTGTATTATTTTTTTCATGGCAGATGCCTATTGCTTAGAATCCAGAGCAGCTGATTGCCGATAAGCTCTGGCAGATGGCAAAAATGTAGGGCCAATTTTTATTTATATTTTCCCCCAAATATTTGATTAGTAAAAATAATATCCACAGCAATTATATTTTGACATCTGCAGCTTTGTTTCACTTCAGTAGTGCAATTTTGTACTGTTCCCTTTGCATTAAAGTGTCCAAATAAGGCTTCATGTCTTTCAATTACCAAGGTGGTGAGCCACAAAATGTCTGACAATGATGGAAATTGACAGCCAATGGCCATTATATCGGTCTCTCTAATAGCCACTCATGAACATTTTATTCAGCGGCAAGGGTACAGATGATACCTCTAGACTTTAGTTCTTTCATCAGAATAATCCTGTTGGAATTTCTCTCCAGCTGTGGACACCAAGCTTCACCTTTGACCCCTGCAGTCCTAAGTCAAGACCATTTACTGTACACTGTATAAATCCCCTCAGAATGGGGCAGTAATTTAGTTTTCTCCAGGTGCATGCTAATGTAGTGTCTGAATAACTATCTATTATGCTATACTATAATTGCGCTTGTGTAAAGAAGTTAGGATATTGGTTATGGTTTAGATAATAAATCAGTATAACAACATAACACAAAAAACATATAATTGTAACAAACAGTATAATCTTTGACATGGGTATAAAGTAATATTTCAGAACTTTTGTGTTTGATTTTGTGTGAAACTTGAACCTTGACCAAGTCATATATTCAAAATCAGTTGTGCCTAATTTTTTTATCTGAAATTTTGTAAAGTTTTAATTTTTCTCACATGACAGAACAAATGAAATTGCAGTTGAAAACACTTAGTATGTCTCATTACACTGCACATACACTGTGATACATGCTGAATTGATTTGCATTTAAATTTGTTGAATGTGGATCTATTGTTTATTATTTGAAGGTGGTTTAAGTTTATGTTGGCCTTATGTTGGCTGTTACCCTCTGCTCCTCACTCTTCAGAGCGCTCTCCAGACCTTCTCTCTGTATGATCAGGCAGCTCTGTTTTGTTTTTGGTTGTTATCTCTCAAACTGTATCAATAGATTCTATTCCAGTGTCTAAACTGGAGGTGAGCTCCTTTTCTCTCTGTCTTCTAATTTGCACCCCTGTTGGTTGCACATGTTGAGTTGATCAGAGTTTATCTTATCAGCATTGGCCAATATCTTGGGACTTGACTTTTTTTTTTTTTTTTGTAGCCCTTCTAGGCTCATCATCCTTATAATAAAATGACTCTGGCCGATTAGAGGAAGCAAGTTCCTATATCAAATTGTCTATTCTGGCTGTTTTATATTGGTAGAAAAAAAAATTGACCTGAATATGCTCTTGTAATTCCCTTTTCCTTCTTTTTGAGTGTCAACCTTATTGTATCAGTTCTTGGTCGCAGGTCTCCTCAACCACATTGAAAAGTCTCTGTTCATTATACAAATTGGCCCTTAAGGTCCTTGACAAAAAGTCCAGACATTGGCACCACTGTGAAATTTTAAAGAAACATAACCTATTTAACTTTGAAAAGTTTAAATATTCTTAAATTATTATATTAAATTATAAAAATATATATATATAAAAAAATATTATTTGTAAGTGTCTTAACTCTGATGTACCACTGAATTCAGAATTTGCCACATACTGCACACACAGAGCAACTACAAGAAGTGCTAGTAGTGGTAATTATGTTGTCCCAATGTACAGGACAACTCTTGGTCAGTCCTCTTTCTCTGCCAGAGGGGCTAGACTGTGGAACTTCTTACCAGCTGATTTAAAATAGGAAACAAATAGCCACACATTTAAAAGTGAATTTAAACTATTGTATGTTTCTAACCAAAAATGCTCCCACTGAAAATATAATAATGCTTAATATTTCTTATCTGCATGTAACTAATGTGTCTTGTCCTAGATTTTCTTCTACGGACAGGTGTTGAAAACTAGCACTTAATAAACATAAATCAATTTTGAAAATAGTTTGATACTCTCTCCTGGGCGTTTAAGGCATGCTACTTTATCATTGTGCTGAGCTCTCCCTCCCTCCAACTTCTTGCAGAGCTCCTGACAAGGCAAACGGCTCCTGCAGCCGCTCGTCAGGTATTGGCTCTAGAGGGCCCTCTGTTGGTGTGGGACATGTGAGTACAGCCTCTCTAGGTAGCAGGGCTCATTGAAGAGTTTATTCTTTTCAAAGGTGAACTTGTGGCAAGGATTTATGATCATTCTTTCATTTAATAACATTTTCAGGCAAATTTTACCACATTTTTGACAAAAATATAATCTGATTATTGTTATTGGGTGAATAAAAAAGAAAAAAAAATATCCCAATCCCAGTCCTTATTTGACTAATGATAGAACAAAGTTGAACATCTAACATTATATTGATGTTAGATGTTATAAGGATGCTCATGGAAATTTCATGTTAATGAAGCTTTTGTATTAATTATTTGTATTGCTTTATTGGGCTCCTCTCATGAAATAACTCAAGTCTGTTGATCTTTTTGAAAATAAAATGCATGACATGCAAGTATGGTTTAAGTTTAAATTCTTATCATGGTGACTTTGGCAGGTCAGGATAATATTTGCTTCTTGATACAATGCCACAAATCATTTGAGATTCAACAATACTGACCAAAGGACCTCTTACTTCTTGCCTTTTCTTCATGAATGTATTTTGGCAGGGCCATTACCCCTTGGAAGTTTGGCTGTCATTCCAGTCTATTTCTACTTTGTACTGCATATATTTGGCAGGTATGATAGCAGAGCCCTGGAGTTTTTGGAACAGCTTTGGAAACATTTGCAGACTGACAGGCGTCAACATCATCTTACAGGAGAGATGTGGGGAATTGAATATAATCCAGACTTTACTTTTTATCTCGTAGAGAAATTTGATGCTTTTCCCAGCAGTGGCCAAATTTTGAGATTTGAAATGTCAAAACAATAATACGACACATTGAATTTGTTAACGTTATTTAAATCAGTTTACTTTCTGTACAAATATCTTTAGTCTTTATATCTTCATTAATTAAATAGACGGTGAAGGTGCAGCGAGCTTTACTAGTTTGAATAAATTCCACATTTAGATATAATGTTGTATATTTCTGAATAATTCTTATTTAATTTTAAATTGATACTGATTAAGATGCACCTGAAACAGTATTATGCGTGTGTAACAAGGCCAAATAAACCCACAGGGTGACAATTATTTTTTAATTATAAATGTTCTTTAGTGCCATCAGTAAGTTTTCTATTGACCTTAAAACACCCTATAGCCCTGCTACCATTTTGACATAGTGAAGGACACACTGATTAGACCTAATTATCATTCTTCAATACTTAAATAAGGTCCAGGCATCTAAGCAAAAGCACACACAGAAAATATGGTTTTAATTTTTATTATTGTGTGAGGACAGTTGGTCGGTTGGCAGGCGAGCGGGTGCGTCTCACGGTACCTGAAACATAAAACATATCTAATCCCATGATTTGATTAGCACAAGGCCATAACACATCATTCTTCTCAGCTCCCAAACGACACACAGGTGGTGAAGCTTAGCTCACAGCTCATGACGGGATAATAGTAGCTCTCATTGCTGACCACAGGGGGGCAACAGAGGCCCATAAACACAGCAAGGCGCTCCTTTACGAGGAAGCGCCATTTAACCTCTTTAATTACTGGCGAATCATTTAGGAAACTGTACTGTGAGTAAAAACAAAACGGTTTACAGTGTTGTTAGATTCAGAGCAGGCGCTTTCCCCGCTAATCTATCCCAGCTTTTTTCTCAAACTCTAAAAGAAAGCAGTCTACACTTCTTTTTGATACATCCAACCTTATCCTCTCTGCAGTTAATGTGAAAACATTACTGTACATATAACTGTACA